CAAACCTAGATCCTTAGTCTCAGCCTCCTGAGTAGCTAGGATTACAGGCCCTCCACCAGCATATGGAGGTTTCACAGCCTACCTTCTCAATCTCTACCTCCCAAGTCGCTGGGATGACCAGCGTGAGACATCAGCACTCAGTAGAAGTCATTATTTTTAAGATTCATTTGAGATCAGGTAGGGCAATGATTAATAAGAAAAGCCAAATGATGTCTGAGGAAAAGCAATCTGCAGCTTCTTACCTGCTACAGCCTGCCACTCAGGACACTCTCTTCAGCCCTGTGTCTTGCCTTGTCTCTGTATTTTTACTTCTCAAGCAATGTGAGTAGGATTCTGTTCACTTAGCTGCCCAGATCTATGATTTTCCAGGCTAAAGATAGGAACCAAAAAAGCTCCTCTGTGGTATAGATTAAACAAGCTATACGTTGTAATATTTCATTAATGGAGTTGATTTTAAGTACAGAACAGAGTAAGTCTCTGAAGATAAATAAAAACCTGTTTGTGGGTTTTTTTCCCCTACACCAAATCACATTTCTGGTTGTCAAACTGACCTTGAATCACACTTCTGGTTGTCAAACTGACCTTGAAGTGTCCTTCATTGGAGTTATTTATAGGCAAGTAATAATCACCTGCTGGGTACAGTAGAGGCTGGTCAGTGGGCCAAAATGCATTCATTTCAAGAATGCTATCAGACTCCCCCAAGTTTTCAAAACCCTCTAGTTTATTGGTTTTGCAAGGCATTCACTCAGTCTGGAAGACCATATTGTGCCTATAAGTGCATCATTTCTCTACACTTAAGAGGAAGTATACCAATACACTGGCAGACATTACTGATCAACAGTAATTAGATATACAATGTAACTTTTAAAGTCTCTCCCATCACACACACAAAAAAAGATCAAAGCTGCATAAACAATTACAGAGCTCATTAATGCTATACAGTGCATTGAAGATTTGTGTGTGGGGGTGTTGTCTAAAGAGAAAAATTTTCATACATATCTGTTTATTATTGTTATCATTGCCAAAGTTCTTAGTGAACTTTCAGAAACTATATTCTCCTTTCACACTTATATAATACTGAAACTTCAAGCAAAAAAATTATTGATAATGACATTATTGGTATTGAATGTTTACTAGAGGGTAAATTCTGAGAAGCCACTTAACTATAAAATCAGTGGTTCTCATCACATCTCCTTATGAGTTCTCTACTGTGTAATTTTCCCATTGCAAACAGCATTTAACACTCCTCATTTCAATCCTTAGAAACTGCACTTCCTCACCTAACAAGATATGATATGTCATCGACAAAGACTTCTGGCTCTTGCCTGTAATCTTAACTTACTCAGGAGGCTGCGATCTGAGGATTGCAGGAAGTCCTTGAGATTGTTATCTCCAATTAACCATCAGAAAACTGTAAGTGGATCTGTGGCTCAAAATGGTAGAGTGCTAGCCTTGAGCAAAAATTGCTCAAGGACAGCACCTGGGCTCTGAGTTCAAGCCTCACAACTGACCAAAAAAAAAAAAAAAAAAAGACCTCTGAATCGCTCTGCTGCAGCCCAGGCTGACCTGTTACTCTTCCTTCCTATTCCCTAAAGGGGAGACCTCAAGACTGTGGCTATTAACTATTTCTCTTTCTCCTTCAGATCTAAATGACGTTTGTATCATCTGTTCAGAACTGTCTTTCTCGAGGCCGAATCCAATTAGACCTCTGCAGGCACACAGCATCCAGGGTAGAGCTGCTGCTCACAGACACCTGGGCCAGGGTTCCTCACAGTTCCCTGGAGGTCACACGGTCTCGCTGAGTTGATTCAATGTTTGCCAAACACCCCTGAAAAGAAGCTCAGAGACGACAGAGGCATCAAGGAAGTGGCCACACACAGGGCATAATAGGGTAGTTCTTGATGAAGCTAATCTTTCCCTTTGTCTCAGTTCCAGAAGAGACCTTTTTGCACAGAAAAGGAACAGCTATGGGAGGCAGAAAGGAAAGAGAGAATGAGAGAAAAGATAGACAGGGCTATGCAGCAGCAGCCCCAGATCACATTCTGTGACACATTCTGTGTCCTTAAAGTACATGGTTCCTGGGGGTGTGACTATTGGTACATCAATTCTTAGATGGCAGAGACACTAGGCTCAATCTCCAGAATTACGGAATAAAAATAAAGATAAATGGCAACATGCCTGCTCATCTGTGACTCACAGGGAACACTGTCATCCTATTATTCGTACTCATGGACTCTGGCATTTTCCTTCATAGTGCTAACCTCACAGTCTTAATACCATTTTCCTTTTTTATATATCTTATGTGGTCATTTGTACATAGCTATTGAGCTTTTCTTCTCATCTGCTAAGATTGTCCTAGACGTATACTAATTATTACAAATAAGGGAAACTATGGGATTTAATATTTCTTTGGGCCTGGCTTACTTCATTTAATATAATTTTTCCAAGTCCTTCCATTTCCTTATAAATGGAACACTGTCATTCTTTCTGATGGAAGCATAGAATTCCATTGTATATAGATATATATTCTTGATCCATTCATCTACTGAGCATCATCTGGGTTGGTTCCATATCTTAGCTATGGTAAACAATACTGCAATAAACATAGTTGTGCTGGTAACTTTAGTGTGGCCTTGTTTGTGGTCATTTGGATAAATGCCCGGAAGTGGAATTTCTGGGTCATAGTGGGATTGCTGGGTAATAGGGAAGCTCTATGTAGAGTCTTTTGAGGAACCTCCATACTGCTTTCCAGAGTGGCTAAACAAGTCTACACTCCCACCAACAGTGCATTAGCACTCCCTTTGGCCACATCCCCTCCAGCTAGAATGGCTATAATGAAGAAATCTAATACCATTTTCTTTACATCTTATGTCTGCCATGTTGTATGCTCTGAAACGGAGAATTCCATGTAATGACATACCTAAATGATTGCTTGCTTTCTGCATCTATGCTTCTGAGATAAATTCTGTAAGATCAGTTACCATGACACCACAGCTTTCACCATTATACCACCAGTGCAGCAGAATGCCTGACAGGCAGGAGATGGGAGATAAAGCTTCAATAAATGAGTACTGAGAACGATATAGAAAAAAAAAAAAACAGCTCCTCTTTCACTCAGCAATGGTTGCAGTCGATTTTCTCACACACAAAGTAGTCAGGCACTCTCTGTCACCCAGCAAATTTAACCAATCTGTCTCTCTTTGCCTATCTGATTAAGGAGAAGGCTCAGTGCCCTTCAGTGGAAGCTGCTGGAGTGGAGCAGAAAATGCTAAGCAGGCCTCATGAGGAAGCATTCCTTGTTGAATTCATTCCTTGAAATTTCCAGTTGTTCCCATGGTATTCTTTTCTACTTTGATTTGCTGAGACCTCCGTGTACATATTAACAGGTGAGCACCGCAGATGAATTGTCCATTCACATTTGATAAAAATACGTTTTGGAAAGTCTTTTTTTCTCTAGATGCGTAAGGGCAACTCTCTTCCTTTCTAATAAATAAGAATGCAGATAGATACAGGAATGTGCTAACAATTCTTTATTGATTTGCATTACATTCACATGTTCATTATTTGTTGTTCTAAAGAAAACTGTTGCTATGTCACAATTCTCACGAGTAAATGGGCACGTCAGTCCATACTAAAAGAAGCTGTTCAAATGAACACAGTATCATCCAAGATGCATTAAGCATCTCATAAACTTCTCAAGATGAACTCCCACCACAGTTAGCATAAAATGCTATCAATTAGACTGAAGCCATGGAGAAGGGCCAGCAACTGTCTTCCCCCTGTTAGTACCATCTCAAACAAAAACCTTTATTACAGGAATAGCTAAACAGACCTTGAGCTAATCAAACATGCGTAAACCACAATTCTAACTTAATACTGTCCTAATTTACTACGAAATAGATTGTATAAAAGTACATAACTTATCATCAGAACTTAAAAGCAGATGAAAAGTTCCTTAGGGCTTTTTTATTAGTTAATAAAAGCCCTTGTGAAATAATCCCTACGCACTTTCTAAAACATGTGTCCTTCCCTATTTTCTTCCAATCACTAAATTTTTCAAGAGAGCTACACTCTCCCCATACTATAATACCTCTTACCATTTTCCCATGTTAATTTTTGCTTACATGGTCACCTGCAAATTCACTATATAGTTGCAATCACATTGTAACCCAATATTTCATAAACTATCATTTTGTCATTTCCAGATAAGGAAATCTTCAGTGTCATGTTACTTATTTGCCTAATACCTCCTAATTCCCATTAGCATGGCTTTGTTATTGAGCAATTATTATTAGTTTTAGGACTCCCATTGTTTCTGCTATTATATATAACTTTATGTAACACTTGTATCCAGTCTTCTACAATGATGTAGATAAAATAAGAATGAAAGTACAAGAAAGTCTGTGCATCTACTTTACTCTTAAAAAATAGACCAATCACATTGCCCTAACAATTTGTATATGTATTCATTTTAGAAGCATTACACTATATGAGTTTATTAGCCTTCATTATTGCTATGGACATAAATTTGTATCTCATTATTAAGGAAAAGTGGGATTGAACATTATTCTGCATGTTTATTCTACAGGTTCACAAGAGTTGTCTTTTTATGTTCTTAACCTGTTCTTCACCCTGTTTTTGCTTTTCAAAAGATCTGAATGTCTTCTAGAAGGGCCTGAAAGCAATGCTCTTGTAATGTGACCTAAATGCAAAAGTCAGTGGAAGCAAAACCAACACAGGCTGACAGAGTTTCCCAAGAGAACTCAGCAGCCACAGACCAGCATGAATGAAGAATCCCTTCAAGGAAAAGACTGTCTGTTTAACCAAGTCAGTCTTCAGAGGGAATTAAGAACATGCACTATGAGAAGCTGGAGAGCCATACTTCCTTAGGAAGTGGTAAACGTTCCATTTAAAGCACTTAAGATAATCGTTTTTTGAGAAACACAGAGGTGGGCCACTAGTAATGAACAGGTAAACTGTAAGCATTGGAAGGGGAGAGTACACACGTTTCTCTGCTACCCAGCACTCCTAGAGACACACAGGCAGGCAGACAGGGAGCTTGTGTTTTCCAAAGAACCTCAGGGCACAGGCCCACGTTACTTGACATCACAGAGAAGGGCCACTCCCCGGAGCACCCAGTGTTCTGGGGCCTGAGCTGTCCTCAGGTCCACAGCGGCGATGTAGTTCAAATCCGTGCGAACTGGCTTCTTGTAGATGGGGCAGGAATAAAACCGAGGATCTCTTAAGGCTACAAAAGAATTCGTGAGAGAAAAGATCGACATAAATTTCTAGTAAGCATCTCAGCAAAAAGCTAGATACATTTCTAACACGCATCTCAGAGATGGTGCCAAGCCAAGCTATGCACCCCTTCCAAAGGTCATTTCAAAGGAAAATGGGTTTGGTAAGGTGAAGGAACTTCCAGAGGTCACACAGTTCCTATGCTGGGGTTGACACTGTCACACTACCTATGAAAATACACACATCTGTGCTTAGACTGAGCCAACTGACCCCTTGCCTTATGATCTTGATAATCACCCCTCTTCCCACAATTCCTGTCTTTTCTACCAGTCATTCAACATTCCCTTCTGCTCGTTCTCTTTGATCTCCCCTTCATATATTCTCTCCATCTTTTACCACTACGCCTGGCCTTTGGCACAAGTAGCACAAGTAGCCTGCCACTTGTAATCACACATCCAGCATTACTCTGTCAGTAACATCACCATCATCATCATTATTATTATCATCATTTAAAAATCTCATCTTCAACCTTCTGTGCCACAGACCACATCCCCCCCTTAAATCACAAGTCCTGTGGCGCAAACCCTGTGTTCTGAGTTCCCTTTGGAGTAGAAAGCCAAAATGTGTAGGATGCAGAGAGAAATGCGTCTAGGGAAAGCATTAGTGGAGTTCCCCAAGGCTCCATTCTCTTATTCAGGAATGGCAGAGTTGCAGTGGTTTCCAAACCACAGACACCATGAAAGACAACTTGTGTCGGTCTGTCCTCTCTGATACTCAGCCTCACCACAGTCTCTTTCTCTCCACACTTGACAAGCTGATGGTCACAGATGTGAATCTGTGGGGCATTAAACTTGCACCCTCATGCAGAATCTCCCTAAGAAAACGAGGAAACATATGCAAATACTCAGTTGGCTCTGAAAGGAGTCTAACTTGGAGTAGCCTGAGAACTTAAGCTTTGTTAGCTTCTTGTGAAAACGACTTTGTTCACAATAGTTTTTCCTGACTTCCACCTCTTGGGGCAGTGTAGTCTTTTACTGTCTCTTCCAGATTACAGAATTTATAAGGACAGATAGTTATGTGTGCATATAACCTTGCATCATTCTGTGAGGAAGCCAATATAATATTAATTTTTAAATAATCTTGGTATACTAATGAATTGAAATTATATAATATAGAAGTAAGATGAAGACTTCGCTTTGGTGAATGAGTGTAATAAAACTAGGCACCGAAACCCAGAAACAATCTTAATATAGAGGAATGAGTGAACACATTGCCAAAAACTAATATGTTCAATAATTTAACTATCTTTCATATCAAATTACAAAAGCAAAGCATATCACTTTGACCCAACAGAACTTTAGTTCTGCTATGTCACATTTTTAACCCACAATAAATGCAATTACTTCGATTGGGAGAAGTTAACATTTGACTACAATAGGAGATAGAAGTTTCAATATCAACGAGTATTCTAAAGTAGTGATTCTTAATCAGAGGTAGCTCTACTCTCGGAATGCTGGCCAACATCTGGGGATATTTTGGGCTATACCAACTGTGGGCCTGACTTGTGTATAGGGGGTAGAAGCCAGGAATAGTGCTACTCAATCGTTAACAACTGTAGGCCTGACTCAGTATATAGGGGGGTAGAAGCCAGGAATAGTGCTACACAATCGTTTTCCAAACCAAAAATATCAATAGACAAAAATAAGCGAGCTGGTAGGTAGGACAAATCAGCTATATATGTTTAAAGGCTTAGGACTCCAGAAAGAGGAACAAAGAAGTTATAAAACCTTTTGAGTGAACTCTACAATTTAGGTTTAAAAAAACATAATAAAATACCTGGGAGGATTTTATTGTCTAGTTATGCAGCTTCCCTGTCTATTCTACATTTTTATCCACACACTCATACACATTAGGTACATTCTTTCCAATATCCCCAGTAACCATGTTACAATCTCTATATGGTAACCAAATCTTTCCTTTATTTGACCTCCTTGCTACTAATACCTTATACACTCTTATAAATGTCCTGCTAATACCTTATACACTCTTATAAATGTCATTTTTTATTTTAAAAAATCATGTGCTTTGCTGGGCACTGGTGGCTCACACCTGTAATCTTAGCTACTCAGAAGTCTGAGATCACAGTTCGAAGCCAGCCAGGGTAGGAAGCCCACCAGAAGTGGGGTTGGGTCGAAAGTGGTAAAGTATTAGCCTTAAGCAAAACACAGCTCAGGGATAGAGCTCAGGCCCTGAGTTCAAGCCTCACAAATGACAAAAGAGTTATTTAAAGTATTAGTAACAATCATACAATTATTTATGACACATCTGCCACGTGCTCAAAGTTGTCATTTCTATTCTCTCAACAGCTCTGTGATGGTTACTGTTACTAAGTCACCTTACCGATTGGAAAATTGAAACACAACATTACATATTATATGTTATATATATTATACACTTATATATAATATATGATATGCAACATGATATATTTATATCTTATAGATGATCATGTAATGTGATATGATACTATATTAGAATGTAGAGTGAATCAACCCTGGCCCAGAGACTCAAAGCCCATTGTGCTCTCAAGTTCTACCATTCTGGAAATGTGCTATGCATGGACACCTCTATATCTTTGCAGGAAAAAATGAAAATAAAGAAAAAAAAATAAAATAAAGTGGCATATTTGAGATTCTATCAAAGCCACTTGGCAAATACTAGGGTCAAATAACCAGAAAAGCAACCCTGTGATCTCTGGCTCTGGCTCACAGTCTTTTATTGGTGAATAGAGAGTAAGAACCCTGAGCCTACAGTGGGAGACAAGGGAGCCTAGAGTGCAAGCCCCACCCTCGGGATCGGAGGCTTCACTACCCCTCACGGCTTCTGTCACCGGTGCCTGGGAAATCCACAGCCCCACTGTCAGGGAGCACTCCCCCTTGTAAGGTCAGCTGAGTTTCTGCTTCATCCCAGATTATCCAAGAGAGCTCCCTCATTACAGGGTCTGCCACTGAGCACTAACCACAGAATTCCCCAGAGGTCTGCATGCACCCATCACAGGCAAATGTGCTTACAATGACAGCTTTGCCGAGCAGTAACCGGGACTCATTCACGAACGTCTCCCAACTTTAATTTCCCCACCTTCAAAATGGAGATGACAAACTTTAGAGTGGCTGCAATGTGTCAATGAGTTAGTGTGTGTGAATGTCCAGTATAATGTAACAATACCACGTCTGGGATGTAGTAGATGCCTAAGATAGGTTATGTGCTCATTTTCTTCTCTTTCCACCTGCACATATAGATGATTTACATTCCCCTGAAACAGATTCCCCAGATTTCTGTTCCCCATGACCTTGTCAGAGATTCAGACTTCTATGCTGGGAGTGGACTGACTGCGGTGGAGCTCAGAAGAGGGGATGGTGGCCGTCCAGTCACCTTATGTGTCTCTCCCCTCCCCTCCCCCTCCCCATGATGGCACAGTCGTGGATTGGAGTCAGAGGGCATTCTGAGGAACATGTCTCCCTAGCACAAAATAACCCATGAGCTCCAGAGGCCCCGAGACCCCTCCTGCACTCAAGTTGGTGACCAGAGATCCTCAGGTTTCACCCCATCCTCCCAAACTCTCCCATCAATGTTTTCCCAGCGGCTCTTTCCAGCTGTTTCCCTGAAGTTCATTTAGAAACATTACCCCATCCATACAATCACTCTGTAAAAAGATTAACCTTTCCTGTATTTGACTCTTTCCAGCTTCCTTTGAAAACAGAGGATCCTGAGTTTGTGTTAGTGATGTTCATCTCAATGAACTTAGTAAAATTTGAGTATTTTGCTATGATGTCCTTGTGAGAAATGAGAATTTTTAAAATTAGTAGTAGATCACTCCATTTCTGAGCTAAAAGAAGTATTTAGATATCCGTTTTTAAAATTAACTACTCCTATATGTAAATTTCAATAATGAATTGGCATGAAGTGAGAAATCACTCTTCATATTCATGTAAAAGCTATTAACTCTAAGAATTCTAGTTTTTTAAATGTAGTACTTGGGCTGTCTTTTGGTCACTAATGATGCTGCACCTATTCATCTCAATTAGAGCTCTATTCTGCTATCAAAATTAAGTGAAAATTAAATGCATAGCATGAAAATAGTAACAGGAATGTTAATTTCCTATCACTAAGCAAACATTTATTTAACAATGAAACAGTTTAGCAAGACAAGTCTCCACCATCTCTAACTAAAACCAGCAAAGAATAAATAACCAAAGCTGTTCTTTTTTTAATACCTTCAAATTGGTTCCCTTTTCCTTTGCTTATTTTATTTCCTCAGTTCCCCAGTGCTAATGAGTGTCATCTCCGACTAATGCTCAGAAGGATGGGCAGCACTGTGTGATAATAATCTGTTCTTAAATAATAAAGGATCACCTGTATTTTGAAATTATTACTGTGTTACTCCCATGCTGAGATGTCCAATGTCAAGTTACCTTGGATTTCTAAAGCTCTGTCACAAGCAAATAAAAGTAACACCTAACTTGATGTGAGAAAGGTTTTTCTTTCATTTGAGAAGAAACATTTTCATGATATGTTGACTACAGGCCACATCATAAAGCAAAATGTCTAGAAGACTGAAGACTTTTGGCTCAAAGAACATTTGACTACAATTTCTATAAAACTACTACCCTAAGGACTTGACACCAACCTAAGAACTAAAACTTACCTAGCCACAGTCAGCATATTTGCCTAGGTTTAACTTACCTAGCCACAGTCAGTACATTTGTCTAGGTTTAAATATCCATTCATTCATTCAGATTCAGCTTTAAAAAAAAGTTATTAAGCCACCCCATGCACTGAGCAGTGGACAGCGGCTGAGATCTCCCTTCACAGACTCCATCCTATAGGCTGGTGCTCTCCTACAATCTCCTCAGCATGATCTTTCTGGTCAGGTGTCTCTAATAAATTAAACAGATCATATAGATAGGGTGCAGAATCTACCCACAAAGTGTTCTCAGTAAATGTTAGCTCTCTCTTCCAACCACTGTCCCATCCCCATCTTCTGCTTGAAGAAACTCCTTCATGTGGAAGTTTTCTTGCTCATTAAATACCACTGACATCCAAATTGCCTAAACTGAGCTTGTCTTCTAAATCCCACATCTGGACTTTTGGTATGAGCCAGCACAGCAGAAGAGGCCTGAATCAAAAGTCGCATAAAGTTAAGTTTGACATCCTATCTCTAAGCAAGAGGCTTATAGTTAATAAGCTTCCTGAGAACTGCAATCTTCTTCAGCAATAAAGGTAAAATATGAAGAAGTACAATAACCTTTCCAGGTCATTATAGGAGAAAACAAGGTTGAAGCTATAGTGTTATGGCTCAGAAACAGAGCACTTCCCTAGCAAGATCAAGACCTTGGGTTGGATTACCAGCACTATGGAGGGTGGGGGAGAGGAAACTCACTCTGAGGGTTTAAAGAAAGGCTTGGTACACACCACAAATCAAAAAGAAAAGTGAGGGATTTTTCTATCTTGTTTTGTTATAGTTTTTGATCAGCGTCTACAAAGCAACTCTCCTAGATTTAATAGGGGCACCTCCATATGGCTGTTCACAAGCAGGTGGAGACTGGTGTCCCCCTGAAAGGCATTCTCCTTCGCTAGTGTTCTCCAGCCAAAGAGAACTGGATTTGCACCAATGGATTGAAGAACAAGTTCAAACTCCCCCCGCCCCAAGGGTAGGCATTAAACTAGAGCCTAGGAGTAGACTGTGGAAATCTGAACATTCTAGGACCCAACAAATTGATAATGCAGTTCAAGGTCCCCATCCTCCTCCCAAACTCCACAAGATGACATGAATAGCAAGCTCTAGCAAATCACCAGCCATAATAAGTACATCCATCTCATTCTTCTATAATCGGAACATGGGTCATGTTCCCCCCAGGATGGTGGAGCAGAATTAAACACAATGAGGGCTGGCACAGCAGAGGCCAGACTTTTAGTTCAGCTCTGACAGAGCTCTACTTCTGGGTAGAGCCCTCACATGAAAAACTAGTGGTAGGAAAAGCTGCACTTAGGATGACAAACAAAGGCACCTCCTGATGCGGTGGGGTCTTCCACTCAAGGTCATAGCCCATTCACACTTGATGTAGATGAGAAGCCCAAATACTTTAAGCCATTTCCAACTCTCTCCCTCTCTCTAATCTAATAGAGAACACCAAGTCTTCTCTATGTCCCAGCTACCGCTCATTGCCACCACATTTCTGTCCACTTCCACTCCATCTTTTCTTCGTTGCCTCAGTTCTTTAGCATTTGTCAAATTGCTCCAATAGTCCTTTCTGGGCTCTCTGTCTCTCAGAAAGTCCTCTGGACTGTCTAGGCTGGGAACTGACCTTCTATGACCATGTGGTCATGACACTCTCTGGGACTACAAAACCCTGGGGATTTTGACCACATCCTTTATAGTGGAATGCACTCTCCTTCACCATCCATGGTCCCTGCCAGTCACGCACACCATACTGAAGCCCTTGCTGATCGTGTCCATCCATGGTTTCTGCCAGTCACACACACCATACTGAAGCCCTTGCTGATCGTGTCCATCCATGGTCCCTGCCAGTCACACACACCATACTGAAGCCCCTGCTGATCATGCCCTGAATGTATTGTGAGCTGACACTCACTCGTTCACTTCTCTACCCTTGCCTTTCATCCTCTTCTCACCGGCATTCACTCACTTTCTCGTCCTCAAACACCGCACACCATTGCTGCCTGATGCTCCCACATTCTCCCTGTGCTTCTGGATATTGCACAATCCTATTCTATCACTTGGATTCAGTTCAATTATTCTCCTCAATGAACTCCTACATTATCGTATGCAGGCATGTGTTTAACTAGACGCAAGTCTCTCATCTTCCACTGTAAAACAGAACTATGTGAAATCAAGGTGTTCATTTAGACACCGTCCTTATTATTCACAGTAGGTTGTCCCATGAAATGACCATGAACATGAATCAACAAATATGGAGCCATTGGTCTGATGGAGAATACAAGGTTAGCTTCCTGCAAGTCTCTTCTTGCAAGACCACTGAACCATAGTCATCAACCACTCAATACAAAACTTTGTTTGATGTGTTTGTATTTAACAACACATTTGAATATGCATTGTTGAGTGATTAATATCAAGTTTGCAGCAATTACCACTGTAACTCATACGTGAAGTAAGTTCAGACAACATACACATTTTCTCCATAGCTTCCCTGTGCCCTAAGCACTATACTGGGGGAACTCATCTTAAATAGAAAAAGTGCAAAAAAAATGAAAACACATCAGTGCAATCAGAAAAGGACACTCTTTCACAGCATAAGAAGTAAAGGGAAAAGGTAGAGAGAGCATCACTGAGTTTAGCCAAGTTGGAAACATGTTTTGGGCAGCTCGAAAGTCTTGCCTTTCCATGAAAGTCTATGAATGTCTGTGAGTATTAATATGAGGATCACAAGGAAACTTTAGCATGTAGGCAAATTCACAAATGCAAAAGCAGAAGGATCTGACAAGAGTGTCTTCTTGCATGGCTATCTTCCCTCTGTTTTCTGACTGAGCTCCATGAGAATGGAGGGTCTGCCTATTATATTTGCAGTGTCCCACCCAGCTCTCGATCAAAGTCTGGCAGATGGTCAGCGCCACATAAATAGTCACTGAATGACCAGAAAAAGCACCGAGTAAAATCTTTACTTAAATCTTAATCACACACATTCCCATCTGTACCTCAAAAGTGATCTCCTCTACCCTCCCAGGAATAGTTATGTCTTCCATCTAGGGTCCCTAAAGCCACTTGAACATGTCTCTATCATAACATGTATCCAATTATATTTTAATTATTTGTCTAATTATTGGTTTTGCTCACTAGACTAAGCATCCCTAGGGGAAGAATTTGATTAATAATTATCTTTGTATCCCAGCAGTAAAGCTCATGGATGGTATATATTAAGTAGTCAGCAAATGCTTGCTTAAAAAATGTTTACAGTTAATAAACTATTTTCCCCTGATTTTAGTTTCCAAATCTGGATTACCATCCTCTAAAAAGAAATCATTTTATGACTTTACTTGTTGAAAAAAAATCACTGTGCTTCTATTGTTAAATCTTTACATCCTTATATCCACTATCATGACCTACTCTAAAGTTAAGGTTTACACTTCCAAAATGAAGGGTAGTACCTAATACTCAGTGGTTGTTGAGGAAGAAGTAGATGAGTAGAAATAGCAGAAACTTCCAGGAAACATAAAGCCAATTATGGAAAATAGTTTAAATATTTTAATCTAATCGAAAGAGCTTAGTAATGTGTGTGTGCTTCATAGAAGTGATCTTCTATTCATAGGCTGAAAGAGGAACCCATTATTTTATTCTTAGCTATAAGATTAAGCCAAACACCCCTGATTTCAATCTTGATTTCACAACCTGACTCAAACCCCCAAGCTGGTACAGCCACTATCTCCTGATAAGCCCTTTGCAGACATGCCTATTTCTCCACATCTTCGTACCACCATTCATCTTCATATCACCTCCTCATATTCAGAGGCAACTGGACCTCATGAATAGTTCACCAGTATCTAACCATACATTTTTTGTTTTATTGGATACACAGAACTTTTTAGAACCATTGCCTATGCAAGCGGGTGACCAGAGGTCAACAAAATACTCACTCAAAAAAGTGACTAGCTACTCAGGAGGCTGAGATCTGAGGATCACGGTTCAAAGCCAGCCCGGGCAGGAAAGTCAGTGAGACTCTTATCTCCAACAAACCACTGGAAAACTGGAAGTGGCACTGTGGTTCAAGTGGTAGAGCACTTCCCTTGAGCTGAAGAGCTGAGGGACAGCGCCCAGGCCCAGAATTCAAGCCCCACCACGACAAAAAAAAAAGTGACTAGAGGTCAACAAAATAGTCATTTAAAGATGGGCGTGAATATAAAGCTAGGTGATCAAACTGTAAAATCCCTGTTTACATAACAACCACTACAATGGAATCTTGGGGGTTTACAATGTTAGCAAACTCCTAATACCAACCCTCACTGAATGGACAAGACAACTTACTGTTGTTTTCTGCATAAATCCTTATGACAGGCATCAACTCAAAGAGAACTTTGGGCTTTGATTCAATGAGTTTCATGTTCCTCTTGTCCCAGCCGGCACCTTCAAGATACAATCCATAGACGTAGACGCCCGCGGCCGGCGGAGCAGAGATGTCCTCCTTCATCCACTTGGTGACTTCGTTGCACAACACCATGTTGTCCAGGGCCCAGCCTTTGTTGGCACGAGTTATTTCCTGTTTCAGGAAGCAAAAGGATGAGGACACAATTAGAGGTTTCTTTTAATTATAAAAGATAACAATAGCAGACTGGGAAGGTGGCTCAGTGGTAGAGTGCTTGCCTTGCACGCATGAGGCCCTGGGTTCGATTCCTCAGCACCACATAAGCAAAAAGAAAAAAGCCGGAAGTGGTGCTGTGGCTCAAGTGGTAGAGCACTAGCCTTGAGCTGAAGAGCTGAGGGACAGCGCCCAGGCCCAGAGTTCAGGACCCACGATCGGACCAAAAAAAAAAAAAAGATAACAATAGCGAAAGTTTAGCTCCACATTACCCTCATTCAAAGGAGGAAGAATGCCAACAAATAACGATTCTCTCATAAAAACTACCCTCATTAACTATTTGTGTTATTCTAATAACACTATTTGTGCTTTTAAAAAAATATGAAATTAGCCGGGCGCTGGTGGCTCACGCCTGTAATCCTAGCTACTCAGGAGGCTGAGATCTGAGTATCGCGGTTCAAAGCCAGCCCGGGCAGGAGAGACGGTGAGACTCCTATCTCCAATAAACCACCAGAAAACCGGAAGCGGCACTGTAGCTCAAGTGGTAGAGCGCTCGCCTTGAGCTGAAGAGCTGAGGGACAGCGCCCAGGCCCAGGGTTCAAGCCCCACGGCCGAATAAAAAAATATATATATATATGAAATTAAAACAAATGCAAAATAAATAACAAAAAACACTTTGAAGCATTTGTTTCTAACGCAATTGTAAGATTATTTCTTTGTTGCTTTGTATGTCCCTCCCCCACAGTATAACCCCTGCTTTCACTGTATTTGATGTCAGTAAAATTTGTGGAGGGGAAGGGGAAAACAAGTCCTTTAAATAAGGATACAGGTGGACCTGTTGCAACAATGAGAAGTACAAGTTGTCATGTCAAAAAACGAACTTTACAACTTGTGGGGGTGGGGATTGGGTGGGGAGGGGAGGGAGGATGGGAAGGGATGGGAAGGGTAAACAAAGGAGGAGGCTACAATCCTTGATAAGAAATGTACTCACTATCTTGCCCATGTGATTGTAACCCCTCTGTACAGTATTTTCACAATTAAAAAAAAAAAAAAAAAAAACACTTTGAAATGTAAGCTAGCAGCCCGAGAGTAAATGGCTGAATTTACTTTGCTGACAACGTTAACTACAAGCACCAGGAGTAGCCATTCTATCTTCTTATAGTCTCTAAAACTACAAAGGAAGAAGAAAAGCTTGTAGAGGAAAATTACAGTAGCACAAGGAGCACATCAGCGCAATTACCTGTCTCATTGCAGTTAAGAACCCTTGGGGGTTAAAAAAGCCTGTCATCCAAAAGCAGTGGGGTCGGCCATTGAAAACCCAGGCAGTAAACTGGCAATTTCTTTCTAGAAGTTCAGTAAACCAGAAACCCAGTGTGCTGGACACCCATGATGCCTGAAATGCATACACAAAAACAGTTCATTATTGTAGAATTAATTCTTCCATGGAAACTGACTAAGTGCATTTTCTATTAAAAAAAATTGTTTTGAAGATAAAGTACCAATCTCATTTTTGCAATGAAAACATTCCTAAATCACAAGTCTCCTTTGGGTTTTGACATGAGAAATTTTCACACCGTTATTTATTCTTTATATTAATGTTATAAAAATATGACAAGCCAGAAGCCAGGATGGCTCATGCCTGCAATCTTAGCTACACTGAAGGTTGAGATCTGAGGATTATGATTTGAAAACAGCCAAGGCAAAAAACGTCCATGAAATGCTTGTTTCCAGTTAATGACCAAAAGCTAGAAGAGGAGCTGTGGCTCAAGTGTAGAGCTTCAGTCTTGAGAAAAAAAGCTAAGGGACAGAGCCCAAGCCCTGGATATACAATCTCTAGTACTGGCAAAAAAAAAAAAAAAACCATCACTAACAGTTCTATTCCCAACAAGTCTCATCTTCTTATTTATCCAAATAACCTGTACAGGAGCTGATTCACCCCAATTTCATCTCTGTATCTATCCCCAATCTGGTCCTCACAGAGCTGTTAAGAAATCTTTTGCTCATAAAACCATCCTCCACATACCAATCCTTCTATCATTCATCAATCCTTCTATCAAATAATCAAAATAATTTATTAAAGGTTCTAGGTCTCCATCACGTACCAGGTTATAATTTCAATAGATTAGAGATTAAACAGGAGTTTAATTCATATAAATGCATTCATGGAATCACCTAGATAAATCACCAAGATTTTTAAATAATCTGCTGTAGCTAGGCAGTGGTGTCCCTGTAATACTAGCTATTCAGGAGGCTGAGCTCTAAGAATCAGGGATCAAAGTCAACAGGGGCAAGAAAAACCATGAGAGCCTTATCTCTAATTAACCACCAAAAAGCTAGAGTAGAGCTATAGCTCAGGTAGTAGAGTGCTAGCTTTGAGCAAAAAGCCACAGGATCAACACACACACACATACACACACACACACACACACACACACACACACACACACACACACTATATATATATATATATATATATATATATATAATGTGATGTGAATATGCATATATATGTATACATATATGTATACATATATGTGTGTATATATTTTTTTCCTGTGGACTATAACTATAACCAGAGACAACCATAAAACTTTAATATACCCTGTGGACAATAACCATATAAGCTGTTCCCTAGTTATTTTTAATGAGGTAAACAAGTTATTTGGCTGAAAGCTTGTTGCGTTAGTATGCACTTTTATTTCCTCTCATTAAGGAGCAGAAATGGAAATCTAGGTCCCTATACCACATACTAAGTATGTGCATTCCCTCCCTGTATTGTTCTGCCTAATTTCATTTGTGGAACTTTCATTAAGATAGAACTAGCATGGATGTCCTTAGTGTTAATAGTAGCAGCATGGCTTGGCATCTGCAAATCAACAATTATAAAATTTTACTAAAACTTCAAGGTTCTCTGTATGAATAAATGAGGAATCAACCCTCAGATGACTACCGGGATCAGAAGGAAAGGAAGTAAGTCAGAACAGAGTTGAAGACGACAACAATGCCTACTTTTCCCAACCTTAGCAATTTAGACACACTGTGCACAATATTAGTAGCCATATCAGGTACACTGATTTCTAGTTTCTGCATAGCTTTTGGTATAATATTCTTTTTTTCCCCCCCCTTCAGTTGTGGGGTCTGAACTCTGGGCCTGAGCACTATCCTGAGCCACAGCGCCACTTCTGGCTTTTTCTGCTTTATGTGGTGCTAGGAATCGAACCCAGGGCCTCGTGCATGTAAGGCAAGCACTCTACCACTGAGCCACCTTCCCAGCCCTGGTATAATAATCTTGTATAATAAAAATTATTTTAATGTAGTATTCACATGCATCTAGACATAGTGTCCTCTATAGAATTTACATCATGGACTTTGGAGTCTAAGAGTCTAGGCTTAAATTCTGCTTCTTTCACGTCTTATAGATGTGATCTGGAAAAGATACAACCTTCCCCAAACACCTTTCCTGAAAAGCAAGGGCAGAATAATGCAAAATTGAAGTAAATCATGTGTAGAAATTGATTAGTAGAGTACCTGATGCACAGTTATAATTTTTTGTCTCACTGTCTATCTACAATAACAATGACCATGCCTCTAAAAGCATTAGTCACTAAGCAAAAGAAATGACTTAAGTAAATCATTCTTAAACACCCTCTGCTTCCAACTTAGAACTCCTAGTGACAATGAGTGTTTGCACAAATAAGAGCTGGGCCGCACTTACTTTTCTCCATCGCGCAGGGATTCTGGCATCAAACATGCAATCCAGTGCATCGCGCAGATTTTCACTCATGATAATCGTGCCGTCAATGGCGAGTTTTAGCTCCGTCAGGGTGCTGTGGACGAGGCTGAGGACCCGCTGCATTCTGTCTATCTCCTGCCGGAGGAAGATGCTCATTGGCTGGAAGGGGCCCATCTTCTGCAGCCTCTCTTTCACCTGCCACGAAAATGTTCAACACACGCTTTAAGAGCTTCTCCTGAACAGGTTCCAATTTTTACAGTCTCATCAGTCATGAGCTTCTTTTTTAAAGAGTATAAATAAATATCTGGTCTACCATCAGCCTAAATTTTCATACCATGTGGAAAACAACACATAGTCATTAGTTTAAGGAAGAAACTAAAATGCACAATGCTAACTAAATAGCAAATGTACTTACTAGGAAATATTCAATTACTAGCCGTCTGAGTACTTTTGAACGCATGCAGATACATACAGAAAACATGTACATTCACTCAACCATCCTGTTAGCTGTCTCAAAAACTCAGATTTCCAGCCAGGCCCCAGTGGCTCATGCCTATCGTCCTTGTTATTGGGAGACTGAGATTTCTGGGATTGTTGTTCAAAGGCCAGCCCAGGCAGAAAGAAGTCTGTGAGGCTCTTCTCACTGAAGAGCTAGATGCGATGGCACACATCTGCTATTCTAACTACCAGACAGTCTCACATAGGTGGTGTGCCCAAGCATTTTACCTAATAGGAAACAAAATTCTGCCTAAAAGAAATTACCAGCAAAAAGTCAGGGTTCATGATGCTGCTCAGTAGTAAGAGCCCTGGCTTAAGAAGCATAAAGCCCTGAGTTCAAACTCCAGTACTGCCAAAATAAAAAATGAACTGCTATTTTAAAAGCTTTTTTTCCTATCAAAGCAGTCATCCACCTACCCATCTATCCATCATGCATTTCAACTCTATAAACAGCCATTGAGGACCTGCTGTATAGGTTTGTTGCAGGCTGAGTTGCTTTCTCCTAAGATGGCCCTAACAAAATCAGCAAAGAAGAGTCTCTTCTAAATCTACTTGCCATGCTTGCTTATGTAATTATCACTTGATATTTAGACATTTAATTGCTTCATAAATATTTCAACTCTGATAGATGTAAATGACCTCTCTCATGATCCCATAATGAAGAGAGCTTATGAAAGCTGATGGCCATATTGATTTTTCCATGCAAGTGATCAGAGATGCCTCCAGAGAAGTTATTTCCTTACCCACAGGTCCTTGAGTTCAATCTGCAGTACTAGCAGCAAAATTCCCTGCTTATGGATTAGGATACCAAAGACAAAATGCTCCAGCATTCTTTTGAAAATTAGGTAGAAAAGGTCAATATACATACACACACACACACACACACACACACACACACACACACACAAAATCCTATAGCAACTGTGAGTCCTCAAGATCATGTGATTTATCTAGGTGGTCTCTAAAGACTGTAGACAAAACAAGATACCTGCTTTGTGACTCATCAAAACTTGCTGTGGTTTTTGTTTTTTCCCAAGCAATATTATTGGGGTAAATCTGCTCAAAATACTGACAATGTCTACAATATTAACTTACATAATTATAAAACCTACTTAGGAACTACTCACGTACCAAAATAACCAATATTTAAAAACAAATTGGATAAAGAACTACCAGAGGGTACTCAGATGGGTGTAGAATCCTTGGAATGAAGAAAGCTTGAATTTTAAGATGTGTGTTAAACTACACATGAGCTTGTGTGGATGCATGCACACACACACACACACACACACACACACACACACACACAGTTGACTCAAGAATGCACTGCTTTCCTATGACCAAATGAGCATATGAAGTACTTCAGGGAGCAGTGTGAGCAAAGAGATCATCAACCACACCACGCCCCTGTCATCGGGTAGCAGTTGTGGACATCCTGGTTATGTTTCTCAGCTGCTGATGTTTTGAAACAATGACACCAGGGGTTACAATTTTCTCTTTCTTGTTCAACCGCAAGTTTGGGCTCATTTGCTTAATTTCAGAAAATTATGTTTTGCCTCCTTCCTCCTTGCTTACTACCCCACAGGCAGACACCTCCACGGTGACCGAGGTCAGCCCGGATCCCGCCACTCACTTCGAACGGGCTGTAGTCTGCAGGCAGCTTCTCCAGCATGTCATCAGCCAGACGAGCCACCACCGCCTCCCTGGTCTCGTCCCCACCGCCAGCACTGTCCTTGGGTTGAATGCTCAGAATGGCGTCTAGCACGTCTTTGGCCAGTTTGCTCTGGTAGGTAATGTCAGCATTTGGGTGCAGTCCAAATACCTCAGGGCTGTCATAGGCCGGCAAGCTCTGGACACCAAATATTACAGATAAACAAAAACTGCGAACACAGACACCAGTAAAAATGATACAATCTCAGGAGATAAATATTATCTCACTAGGAAAAGCATTCACATCTATCTTAACTTCTGTCAAGCTGCAAACATTAAAGATTTCTCCAAAAAAATCAAAACTTAAACGTTACCTGGAGCTTTGTGGGGTAGCTCATGCCTACAGTCCCAACTATTCAGAGGCAGATAGGAGAAGGATGAGAGCTTGAGGCCAATCAGAACTTTCATGAGCTCCCCCCCCATCTCAGCCAATAACAGCTGAGGATGGTGTCACATTACTATCATCCCAGCTCAGAGGAAGAGAACTAGAAGGGCTGTCATTCAGGCTGTTCTAAGCATAAACACAAGAACCTATTTCAAAAAATACCTACAGTAAAAGGACTGGAATCATGGCACAAGGAGTGGAGCCTCTGCCTAGCCTGGAAAAATGTTACCATTAAGATGCATAAAATACACATATGGTTCACTCAGGCCTCTACACTGATCAAATGCAGAGATATTCTTGTGGATAATACATGAGATAGAAAAGGAATAGGGAATTGGTATTTTGTTTTCTGATAGTCTATTCTGAGCTAGTTTAAGTAAATGCAAACTTCATAGATACTACGCTTTTATATAACCAAGAAATGAGAGGCCCAAATAAGACCACAGGTTGGGAGTTGTGCTCTCCCAAGAAGGAAAGTAGAAAAGGAGAAATATTGCGAGAGAAACCAAGAAAAACAGTGAAAGAGGGTGAGAGAAAGTCGTAAACTTCCTCAGCTATTGATATATATTGCTATATATGAAATATCTTATCCTTAATTCAGTCACTGTCTTATTCATACTTTCTCTCCCTTCTTCTCTCTCCTTTCACTCCTTTTACATGATAGCTTTTTTATGAACTGCCTGAATTTCATTGTGAAATGGGGGTGTATATTAAAAATATGTGTACAGGCATGCATAAATTTATACCTTCTCAAGTGCTTTTTCTATTCTCTGATAATGATTTAAAGATACATACAATAGAGTGAGACAAATATATTTGTTGATCTGAATTAATAAAAGTGTAAAGGTGGTAATATATGATAAACTCATTATATTTATATATCAAAAACTATAAATATACTAATAAATTTAGCCCTTCAGGGCTGTTGGGATTCCATTTGTTCACTCTGAGATAAATCTTAGAGGCCAAAGAGACTGCTAAATCACAGTCCAATAACTTTAAGGTATAGAGACAGAAAATGAAGTTACTTTGAAAATCAAGGGTTATTTTTGTAGGTTTTTTGTTTGTTTTTTACAACATATTCCCACATCTTCTGTTTAAATCTACCTTATTCTTTCTTCCAGCAATGGTCCTCGACCAGGGGCAATCTTACTCCTCTGGGGCTTTTTAGCAATAGCTATAAACATTTTGGGACTTATAACAGGCTACAGCAATGATAGTGGTATCTTGTTGAGGCTTCTAAACACCCTACAATGCAAAAGACAGTTCCTTACAGCTAAGAACAATCTGGCCCTGACTGTCAATACTGCCAACATTAAGAAATTCTGTCTTGAAAGAAACACTTATACAAAGCAAGCTCCTGGACATCATATCTGATAGGTTAGCAATGGCCATCCCAGGATCAGACAAATGGGTTGGGAGAAGAAAAAATAGAGCAGGTTGAGTCTAGAAGCTGCCACTCGCCTTCTAGCAGTGGTGCCTGAGGTCTCGCAGGCAGAGCACTGATGACTTCTATAGTTTCCTATATCTGGTCCACATCATCTCCCCAAAGAATATTCTTCACTGAGGCATCAAGAGAGAAGGGAAATAGGGAAAGAATTCATACAACAGAGAGAGAGAGAGAGAGACAGAGACAGAGAGAGAGAGAGAGAGAGGTGAGTGATTCGATCATCAAGTAAACATGGAAATATTAAAAAATCCAGTTACAGCAAATGTTTATATATATATATCATCATTAGAAATTCATCTTCAGTGCTGTACATACTGTGTAAATAAATCTCACAACGGTGGAACATTCTTGACATGTCACAAACCTTGATGTACTGAAGATAGTTTTCCACTGTGCTGCATTTCGGAATGCTGTATCCTTGGTAAAAGCTGAAATCTGGCCCAAACATGTTTTCACTGAACCAAACCTTGGCAAATGTGTTCAGCAATCTCTTGTCATAGTTGTCAGTGACTCTCCCTCCGTACTGGATTTCTCCTATCATGTAGCGGACGGTGGTCCAGGAGACGCCCTGGGAAGGTTTAGAGGACAGTGACATGGGAGCGGGGGACCATCTCATCTTTGGTTTCCCTGCCACGGAGCATCACGTACACCCTGTCCCAGGTCTTCCAGTCAGCCTGTCTTTCTTCATCAGTGATATGAAGAATGCGGACACAAATTCAACCCAACAAAATGAAGAGCTACTCAAAGTACTCATGTTCACTATTTAAAATGAGACTTTCTTAAATGCATTCACATTTTTAATTCCCTAATATTAATATTTTAACATTGGCTGTTTGAAAATACTCAGTTCTTTGAAGAGCACGTACTCCTTAACCACAATCTAGACTCGTGGTTTTGGTTTTAAGAATTTCCTTTTTTGTGCTAGCACTGGGGCTTGAACCAAGGCACTGTCCTTGAGCTCTTTTGCACAAGGTAGGTACTCTACCACTTATGTTACAGCTCCACTTCTGGCATTTTGTGGTTAATTGGACATAAGATTCTCACAGATTTTTTGTACCCAGGCTGGCTTCAAACTGCAATCCTCAGATCTCAACCTCCTGAGTTGCTAGGATTATAAGAATAAATCACTAAATCGGGTACCAGTGGCTCACACCTGTAATCCTAGCTACTCAGGAGGCTGAGATCTGAGGATTGAGGTTCAAAGCCAGCCTGGGCAGAAAAGTCCATGAAATTCTTATCTCCAATTAGCCACCAGAAAACCACAAGTAGTGCCGTGGCTCAAGTGGTAGAGTGCTCGCCTGGAGCTGAAGAGCTCAAGTCAGCACCCAAGCCCAGAGTTCAAAACCCACCAACCAAAAAAAAAAAAATTGAATAAACCACCAACACCTGGTATTAGTTTTAAAATTTTAAAAACAATTTCTCTCCATTCCATGCTTCAGCCCTATTTTTAAAAAATCCTTCAAAGTTGTCTTTCATAGGATGTCAACTTAGGTTTAAGAAATAAAGTGATCATGGAAGCTTGTCTATTCTTTTTCCTTGAATCAAGAGACAAGTGTCTAGACACTTATCTCTGTGACTTAAAGACCCTTGAGCACAGCACAGCCTTGCATGACTCACTCCAAAGCCGAGTGGTCTTGAAAGCGTGTCCACCCACACCCCAGTCCCCAGCGTCCCTAGGCAGCACACACAGCGGCACCTTTTTGATATCCATGTCGTCTAAGTGGTTCTGGATGAACTGCACGGTGGCATTGAAGTCCGCCTGGTTAAACTCATAGGGGATATTCCACCCCAAGGGGCCAAACTTGCGCCTCTCCTGGACCGTGGAGTGCAGGAAGGCCACTGCGTACAGCATGGGCCTCCACTGGGCTCCAGGGCTAACATCCAGCAGGTCCTGGCTCACCCCTAGGTGGTCAATCAGATGAATAGACTTATTATCCCCCAGATGCTATCACTTTCTACTTCCTTTATAAGCAATTACTTTTGCAAATTTCTGGTATGAAAGTGCCCTGAATTTGACATTTTTATTCCGTTCACATAATAATTATAATTTAAGCTTTGCATATCCGTAGACCATTTCTCTCTGAGAAAGAAACATGTTTTTCTGACAAAACATTTTTATTTATCAGAAATGGGGAGGTCCTTGACCTGCAGACTAATGCAGAGAGGAAGGGTGGATGAATAAAGTCCTAGTAGTCAATGTACATAGGTGAAAAATAAAACCAGGAACTTAAGGGAATGGGTGAGGTTGGGACAGATGGTAAAAAATGGTGGAAGTGGTGACTTCGATTGAGATACAATGTATTCATAAACTCACCTGTTGAATTGAAATCCCTGTACAACTAAAGGTACAACCAGATGCTTTGTGAAGAACAGTTCCTAATGTGCTGACACGAGTATAAAACAGGGATGAGTAAAAATGACACTTAAGATAAATGTCATTATTATTATTATAGCTATTAGTAATGATTACTATATCATTATCTGAGACATAATTGAAGCCGACTATTAATTCAACAGTAATTAAATAAGGTATATAAGAACTAACTGCAATCCAAGTACATGTCCCAAATAATCACTGTTATGCATTTATTTATGTACTTAATTCTTTATCAGTATCCTCCCATTTGTCTTCTCCTAACACTACCATATTACACTGGTGAGAATTGATTCTAATTAGAGCCCCTCAAAAAAAAGTCTCCTGGCATATTTTTAACTTGAAATGTAATAATTACTTTGTTATTGTTAAGGACATTGCTTTAGTTATAATGTCTTCCACTTCTTGATGGATTTTACTGTTCCTGCTTTACATATGGGTGATTTCAGGGAGGAGCACCAGGCATGCAAGCAGGCTGTCAGCAGGAAAGAACAGAATCCATATATCTTACTCCAAGCTCCACGTTCTTTTCATGAGGGCCAGATATGACATTTATGCAACACAGAAAAAGCCAAGACCAAAGCACATGCCCAGATCCAGAGGTTATTTGCCCAGTTTGCTTGCTACCACCTCATTTTGAATTTGGCTGATGTTCTCACAGGTAGCTCTAATGTAAGTGAAGTTGGATGTGATTGCAGCTCACTCTCCTATTGGCAAGGCTCCGGTATTTATTTCATTACGAAGCCGACAGGCCATAAAACTGTCCATTTTTTCATGTTCACTTAAGAAGGCCACTGTCTAGCTGGTGAACAGCCCAGACTCCAAAAGGATAATATCAGGAAAAGATAACCTCAGAAGGCATGGGATGATGAGCCGGATTCATGAATCATGCCTGCATCCACTCCCCACGCATGGGAGAAGATGCTCACTGCCCCCAGCAGCTAAGAAGAGTTCGACTCGCTAATTCCACTTCACTAATTAATTTACGTGCAAAATCTTGTCTGGACTCCACAGCATCCCTGGACTCACCGCCATACGTTGTTTTCAGTCCTGCCCGGAGGCCCTGTGGAGGCTCATTGGCAAATTTAATGGACATCTGAAGAAGCGCGATGGGGAACTGCTTATGCCCCTCGGTGGTCATCCACAGGCGGAACGCGCTGTGCACAGACTCCGTCTCTGTGACTGTGTCCATGAGCTCATCCAGGAAGTCAAGACCCAGGTGGCAGTTCTGCAGAAGTGCCCATCCTCCCTAAGCCAACAACAAGAAATGGAATTAAATTATTTTGTGCTGCACCCAGATATTCCAATGATGACTTTCTTTCAAAATTAAATAATTGAAATGTACAGAATCACTAGTCGCTTTGATTTAATCTGGGTCACATTGAAGGCTACAGCAATGTTTAATTGAGCTGCTATCGGGGTTTGTTGCTGATTTCATTCCTTGTATTTGTCTCATGGTATACAACCATGCCAATTGTAGTAGTAACCAAAGTAAAAATGTAAGAGGAGACAACGGAAATTCCAAGGAATGGTGACTGGCTGAAAACATCCAGGTAGATCAGCTTCCATTCTAAAGTTCACTAAACTACAATAAAAGGGATGGTTTAAAGTCATGACTCCTATGCATAAAGAGAATGAGGATGAAAATATGGTAGCATTTAAAACAGATTCAATAGAGAGGAATACAGGCAAAGCTGAGATGTAACCTGATTTATATCCATAACTCCCCAAGACGCTCAAGAACAAACAGCAGCAGGTTCCTCTGGAAGTGAGGGAAAAAGTTAAGACAATTGAAAGTGCCACCCCTAACATGTCCCTGCTTCCCCTAATGGAAGATGGAAAGTTGAATTTCTATAGAGGACCGAACGGATGGGGTCTAGACTGAAGAAAGCTGCGTGCGAAGAGGCTTTATCAATTGAATTTAGATACCTGCTACCTATCTTCTCCTCCTCCTGCATTCTCAGAATACTGGGAACCAAGAATAGACGTCTAGAATGGAAGACTTTTTACATGGAAATCTGATCACTCTAAGAAACAAATAAGTCACATCTTTTGCAAAAAAAAAAAAAAGTATATTTTGTGTGTGCCTAGAAGATCTTTCGTATAAAGCAACTCAGGCAGACTTTGAGTCATGTAATAATGATTTCCCCATTACCTAACCTATGGAATATTTTAAATAAAACCATCTATCACGTCCACATCATAATCTCGAAGTGTTTGTGAAACTCGATATTTAGCCTTACATTTGCCATGGTTTGCTGCAAGAGCTTTCGAGCGTGGACCTCCTGGCCCTGGCCCATGGACACATAACGCGTTTCTATTTTTAATCTCTTCCCCAAAGCAATGATGGAATCGGTGGGGTCCGAGCCCATGGACAAGAGACAGATGAGTGGCGTCCGTGGGTCAGATTCCTCCCAAGTCTTTTCCAAATCCAGGATCACGCCCTCTGCATACTTTTCACCCATGGAATCCATGATGTACTTGCGGGCCTGCCAAGAACAGTCCAGAAGTCAGCAAAATGAGTTCCAATTCCTTCCGGCATGCAAGGCAACGTGCTCGCCAAGTGTTTCTAAGATGTCCCTTGCAATATCCTAACTCTGCCAGGGAACTAGGATAGACACTTCTTTTCCTTGTTTGGTCTGCTGTCTGTTTCTATGCTCATTTTATAGATGGGGGACATATGACTTATCAAGAGAAACCATAGAGCTAAAGGCTCAGAACCCAAACTGCCGAATGATTTTTAATTTTTAACCCCTAATCTTTCTTCTCATTGTCATCATCACTTACATTTTTTGTTCAACCTTTCGCTGTTAATTTTGTCATCTAAATGAAACCCTTGTCCACAGGATTAATTACTTCATCAACTCTATTAACCACCATTAAAATCATCTCTACTAACAATACAGTCCTTTTTCAGGCAAGGGAAAGAGGTATTTTTCAAGGAGCAGTATTTTCAGGATGACGCTGATTCACTGCTCTCTCTCTGAGATATGATGGATGCTCCCAAATATTTTCCTTCAATTCCCAGGTCTTCTCCCAGGGGGTTAAAAAATCCAGATTCTCTCGTTAGATGAATCATTCTCCCAAAACAAACAGGGATTTCACTAAACACAACATTCCGAAAGGCCACAAAGAGACTCCCCAATTATTTCCTAAAGAAGAATAAAAAGTAGTTAGGGAGAGCTAAAATCCCTGAAGGAGAGGTACTTTGGATGCACCTGAGCTCAAGGGGAGGGAGGCTTGTTAAATCGTTACCTTTGACTTAAAAGCATTATCCAGAGTTAGATGTGGCCACTATATCACATCTCATCCTCCTATTGAATATGTTGTTCTCCAACCTCAAAATGTTTGTTACTCTGCGCTCGCACACACACATTTGGTATGTTCCTCTCTCCTATCTTCCTTTCTACAGGTGAGACTGGAGGAGCAGTGACCGTAGCTTACCAACGTAGCTTACCAGCACCTGCTGTCCTGGTAAGAGATGGGAACTGGGCGGCAGCTGAGTCTACACTATTGAATATCAAGTTGTCCTGCTTCCTGACTCCCCCTGCTATGTGGATACTCCCTCCAACAGGGAGATATCTGAGTTTATTACTCAGATGAGAGGGTAAAAGGTTTCTTTCACGTATTATGTTACAAAGGTGACATTGAAGTATAATGTTGATGAACCCTGTAAAAGTATACCAGAGGAGACCTATTTATGAAAAGAGCCTGAGCTATTATTTGGACTCAGTAGCTTTATCTAGGCCACAAAGTCAGCTAGGCGAGTCACAATGGTAAGAAGCATGAAGTGGACACACATGCAGGAATTGTGGAGCAGGAAAGAGCAAATCACCTCCCGACAACCACAGAACATCCAGGATGACGCCTGAGCCAGTATGAACTGGTATGGGCCGGCCAGGCTTCTGCAACACTTCTCAAACACAGTGAGACTAAAGGAACATACTCTTAGGAGAGGAACACAAAGGCACAGTGCTTAGGTGGCTCAGATCAAATAAAATAATATTTACCAAGATGAGCCCCAGAAAATGGAAACACTGGGTTTTTTTCGTTGTTGTTTTCTTTTTGTCTTTTTGTTTATCTGTCTTTGGGAGGGTAAGAGGAGGACACAGAAATGGAGGGAATAATGGTAAACAAATGCAGCAATGGTACTCACTGGACACTATGTTGAAAATGAACTATGCAATGTGTGGGTGCAAATGGCAGGGAAAATTTGGGAGAGAGAGAGAGGGAAGGGGTGACATCGTCCAAAAAGAAATGAACTCATTACATGACTTATGAAACTGCAACCCCTCTGTATACCATCTTTAAAAAACAGTAAAATAAATAAATAAAAATTTTAAAAAGTATGCCAAAGAAGAATTTTTCCTTTACTTAAAATTTAACTTTCTCTTGAATGACTGTAAATAATCTATATTAAACGAATAAGTGACAGCTTGTTGATTTTTTTTAACAAAAAGCTACCTCTTATAGAGGTAATTCTTTCCTCAATTCTAAAACCCATCTGGTCCCAATTAAGCAGAATAAAACTTTGAGAAAGAGAAAGAAGTAGTCTAAGAGCCTTTTCACCTGCACTGCCCTCCTTTGTGCAGATTCTTCAGGACACCAACTGTGTGGGGTGAGACGCCCTGTGACCCCCAGCCCGCCTACCACCAGACAGATAACTGTTTCCTGACATGGATGCTGACATTAAGCCAAGCTGCAGAGACGCAGTGATGCACAGCCTATAGCTGAATTGGGAGAATGGGGACTGAGTGTGTCCATGTCAGAGATCCTCCATTATGTTTCCCATGAATTTGTCTGCTAGCAAAGCACAAAAGGATTCCAAAGCGAGAACAGAACCGTCAGAGGACAGAACCTATCTCTAGATGAGCCTCTAGACCTTGTTTAGCACTTGGGTGTTATTCTAAGGGCTGTAGCCACTGCTGGACTTGTAGAGCTAAAAAAAATATCAAGTTCCTTCCATTTCTTTTAAAATACACAGGATGAACCAGGGCACACAAGAAGGAAGAAAAGATGATCATTTAAGAGCCATGGCTACGGACAGTCTGAGAATGACAGGATCAAGATAAGGTAAGAAAGTTACAAAGGAGCTTTGTTGATTTACATCCCCACATCCAATCCCAGCGATTTCTAGAAAAGAAAGAAAAAGGAGAAAGTGACCAAATAAAAGAGAGAGGGAGGCAGCAGGGAGGGAAGAAGGGATGGAAAGAGGGGAAGGAAGAAAGGAAGGGAGAAAGACTATGACAGCCAAACTTTCCCTTTTATATTACCCTGAAGGAGAACAAAAAAAGGTAAGCCTTTCACAATCCATTTGGGCAAAATAAAAGTAATGAACTTGAAAAAGAAAAACTGAAAGGAGTAGAGATCTCAGTGCCCTGAGTGGCAAAACTCATTTTTCTTTTCTCAACAAATCACCGGATCTGGTTATTTCTATGATTCCACAGGCCCTGGGTGGAGCTGGAGGTGGGTATGTTCTCACGGCGTGCTCGAGAGAATGGGGAGCATGCTGCGTTCTATTACAGACTCCAGAAGATTGGACCCCGGGGCTTCGCTGCAGAAACCTGTAAGGAGTCCACCTGTGCTGAATGTTAGAGTTCACGTTTTAATCATGAAACCAAATCCAAAATCCCTTCGGTGCTGGGAAAACGGATTAAAGATCTTGGAAAACAATCTTTGAGAGGCAGGTTCCACATTTAAACATGGAAAACTGAAACCATTTTAGGACAATGTGCTTTTTTACATCCCGAGCGGTGACAGTTTCTAGAGAAATGACCAAGGAGTGAGAGAGGGTGCTCCCCTCTGAACCGCCCCCTCCTAAGGATTTTGTCTTCCCCCTGCTTATGATTTACTACACAAAACGGTGCAGCCACATCGCTTTTGGGTTAGTATAAAATTATAAAAGAATACCGCATTATCTGGGTGTTGTGCTTATACGCCAGGCTTAGAAGCATGGTTTTCTCCAGTTCTTTTGTCTGACAACTCGGACCAAAAGAGGTTAATAAATCACTTAGGCCAAATGTATACCTCAGTATTTTATGTGTGGTTTATTTCTCCATTGTTCACATTTGTGTTGCTAGAAAACTACAGAAAAGTCTACAAGGAAATTCTCATTGGTAAAATAACATGCCAAACAGTTCTCGAAATTTTAAAGAAAAATACTCCTTTGAAACATTCTCCTATGTTTCTTTTAATATGAACTTTTTACCTGGGCAATGGTTCTATCTGGACACCAGGACCTAATAAGGAGAAGTCGTCTGAAACAGTCAAGAGATTTATCATAGGCATTAGGAAGCGGTTCTTCCTCAGGGTTTTCCTTATCGAACCAAATTTTCCACATTTTCTCATTTCTTGATATCTGAAAATAGCATAAGGTAGGTAACATGTCACATCACGCTGAAAAATCTTTCAGTAGTACTGATGAATAGTTTTCATGAAACCTTTTAACCTCTCCAGACATATGTGCTATTTTTAAATTTTATATCCTAGTGCACAAATCCGGTAGTAGGAAGTCCTATGTGATTTGCTCTAATGTAAGTCTGTATTACTGGCCGTTTACAGCCAACTTTTGCAATAGGAAGGGTCCTGCCAGGGGTGTTTGCTTTCTTATATCCTTTCTCATAACAAATCTGCAAGGATTAATAAAAAATCAATGGAAGCTCAATTTCATTATTTCAAAGAAGTCTGATTTGTTCTATAAAAACATGCCTTATTCATTCATGTTTCCTAATTTCCCTGAGCCAGTCTGGACACAAAGGAAGACATTTTATACACAGCTGTTATTGAATAAGCAGGGTTTGGGTCAATACTCCATTAGGACAGAGTAATTTGAGATATTCCATTTTATATTCGTCATCAAATGGATGCTCAGCTGTCTGCTACCTTTAGGAGTTTGGTAAAGAGTAAAAGGACATGGTGTGTTCTCTAGAGCTTAGAAATCAAAGGGAGACGAGCGTCACGGCAACAGGCGTATCACAAACGCGGAATAAACAAACAGCATCTACAGATTAAATAAAATGTTATGCTCTCTGGCATATTCCCTTTGATGAAGGCCTCAGAGGTGCCTCTTTGTCTAGCCAGAGGAAAAGTCATTCCAGGTCAATATTTATAGAATCACCATGTAAGAATAAAACTAATCTCTTTTAATCATACAAGACTATAACATACTCTGGCATGGTTCAGGCTTAAAATACAATGTCCAGAAGTCAGTGACTTCTTCACACACAGACAGGGGTCTGGGAGAGGTCACCAGGACCGCTCCAGGGAAGAATAAATTGGAGGACACTAATATCTCCTAAATAATTTATTTAACCACAAAGAATGGGTTATACCCCAAATACATGGTAATATTTTTTTAATCTCAGCCAATATTAAAAAATCAAAACATAACAGCACTTACACATCTGGCGAACTTATAACTGAGAAAGCTGAAAATCAACCTTCGGACATTTACTGGTGGGGGGGGGAACATAAAATAAAACTTCAGCTTGTGGTCAAGGATACCCCCTTGTGGCCAAAATTACTTTTCTAGGGTCACCTGATGATCATGAACTTGCTTTCTGGCTATTCCCAATCCTATTCTGTATACCCAACTTCCATGAATCCAGCACATACAAACCACCAGGAATCAAAGGATGCTAATGTGTAAAGGTAAGAGGTCCAATGTCTGCAAGGGGTCCATTCCTGGGTGCAGAGGCAAAACAATGTGATGGGAGGAGCAAAAGAAGAGCAAGAGGGACCAAGACAAAAGAAAGGAAAGGCAATTGAGTATTTAGGTGGATAATGTTCATATTTCATTTTATTTAATCCTTAGAAAGGAGAAGTCTTAAATATATGCAACTGTTCAATGTAATTGAATCAATGGGCTTTTTCTTTCTGTGGCCCTTCCATTGGTGACGCTGAGTATGCAGCTCAAGGAAGCACCAGCTAAACTTCTGGCTCCATTTCCTCCCGAAGGACCAGTCTGCAGTGAGTGCAGCCACTTCTTCGGAGTGTGGATAAACCGCAGGAAGGGCAAGCGCATGCAATGCCATCAAGAGTGACAACATTAATGGGCCTCTTTCCTGCACAAACATGGTAGCTAATGGCAAGCCAAGAAGCTCATCATGACATTCACTTAAATATACTGTAGTCACAGAATAAGCTACCTGATCAAGGATGTCTGAAAACTGCCTGAGCTTGCTAAGTTCCACCAAATTCAGCCAAGTCATATCCAGGATCCATTTGGATGGTTTGGGAGGACAGGCTTTAAGATCCAATGAGGCACCACCTTTAAAATTAAACACATGAAGTTATCCATTCTTTTCTTCCTTTACTATAAAACAACCTAATTGGTTCTGGAGGTTGGACTCGCAGACCTGTGTTTTTGAGGCAGGCTCTCTACTTGACTCCGGCTTCCAGCCTCCATAGTAAAAAAATTTTTGTTCATTTTCATGGTAATTATTTTACTAGCTTGACATTTCTTAAGCATAGGAATATAAAGCAGAGTGAGCAGCATTGTTCACATGTAATAAATGTATAGACTGTGTCACAAAACCATATTTAAATAATCAGCAATACAGCTTCTTAATTAGACAGATGTCAGACGCTATCCTAGTTCTAATTGACCATAGTCTAGATATTTCATCTGATCTTCCATTTCCAAATCTATAAAATAGGAACAGCGAAGCCTGGGTGACGTGACATCAGTGTGGGAAATACACAGGATTGAAGGCAGGGGTCACTAAATGAGCAGCTAGCATCCGTACTAAGAATAGTCAATTTATTAATAGCCCAAAATTAATTAACCCAGTATTAAGAACCCAATACACACACAGCTAATTATAGAGAATTTCCCCCACCTATTTCAATAGCTCTCTGCGTGCCAGAAGGATTCTGTTCTAGAAACATATGTATTTAGTCTTATCACCCTTGTTGAGCACAGTCCAAAGGATCTAAACCACATCACACACATTCCCTCAACTGATCCATAACAAAAATTCCCGTATGGCGCGGACAGCTGTCCGTGGTTCTGAGTCTTCAAAACTCATATTGCTGTCCCAGTACCCAAAGTAATAAATGACACATTAAAAATAGTATTGTTGCTACTTCAGAAAAACGCAATAGGTAAGCAATTATGGTTAAATCAGAGAGCTGGGAAATTATCTATGGGATAAGTTGTATTATTTAATAGATAAAATCCAGCAAAATACTATAGGAAAAATAAGCTCTATGCATTTTTCTTATAAAGATAACCAATTCATTTGGCCATCTTTAGAAATCCTTCATGGAACAAAGTAGGTTACAGACAAATAATAATACTCAAATTGTTTATTGAGCCAATCTCTGCTTTATCCATGCACTGTGAGCACCACTAAATTGTTGTCTTTTGCCAAATCCATCTTAGTATATTTATAACGAGGTAAATGTAGCCTTCAAGCTATTTAAATGGAAATATGAGCTCATAAAGTGAAAGCAGATTGTTTTAACTCCAGGGAGCAGTTAAAGACCTAATGACAATGGCATTGTGGTGAATAAATATGGCACTAAATCCCATGGCAACTGCCTATTTTCCATCAAACTGAAAAGAATTAAGGTACTCTCCAGTAGATTATGGGAAAGGCTGTTTTTGGAAAAGAAAGGTAGTTCTTTGCTGGGCAAAGCATTGTTCTGTGTTTGGAGGAGGGCTCCAAAGCTGCACAATGGGGTAAAAGCAATGATTGTTACTTGAGTGAAAGACCTATTCTTGGAATAACAAGTCACCAGAGCAAGCAAGCCCTTGATGCATAAACACCTAAGAAAGGAATCATTCACAGTAAATGTACAAGATGACAGAATGATATTCATTCACCTCGTTTCATAAACTCTTGCTTTGGCCCAAAAAAAGTTAAGATCTTGGTGCTTTATAAAATTGTCATATTGTTTTTATTTAGTTAGTTTTATTGTAAAGGTGATGCAGAGAAGCTTACAGTTACCAGTCAGGAAACGAATACACTTCTTTTTGAACAGTTTCACCTCCTCTTTCATCTTCTCCCAGTTTTTCCCTCCCAACCTCTCTCCCTCACAAGTTGTAGAGCATATTTTCAACATAGTGTCCAGTGAGTATCTCTACAGTACATTTGTTCACCCTTTGTCACACTATTTTGTTATTTTGCTTTTGGGGGTTTTTTCCCCTCCTTTGTCGCTGCTTTTGATTTCTGTATCTTGTGTCTTATATGTAAGTTTTGGGGAAAGTAAGGGTGAGCACAAAAATGGCATGTTTTTGTAATGAAATATTAATGTCAGTTATACCCAAACTTGAAAGTGATGCTGTGGCTCAAGTGTTAGAGTGTTAACCTTGAGCAAAAGGAGCTCAGTTAAAGTGTCCAGGCCCAGAGTTCAAGCCCCAGGACTGGCAAAAATAAAATGAATTTTTAAAATAGGCCTATACCACATAATCATAAAGAGAGGAAAAATCATAAAGGACAAAAAGCTACAGAAATTGTAAAAAGTCACCTAAGCGGATCCATTGTCATCTGACTGGTAACTAGAACCAGTAGCAGAACACCTTCCTTAGACCCTTTGGGTACTGTAATAGAACACCATACGCAGGAAGTCTACGATAGAGACACCAGCAGTTTGGTGTGTGGGCCCTCGTGTTCCATTTGCTTCTAGGTACATCAATCTCGTCGATGCGGGCCTTGTCCTTGTGGGGTAAGCACACGCGAAGTTCTCACTTCTCATAGTCACAACTGCTCACCCAGCATGGAAGAGGAGTCACACGCAATACAGCGCTTTTCACAGTCACCTTCACATGTATTTTGACTGTGACATAAATTATACTATTTTTTATCGATTGAAAAACCGAAATTTGAAAATATGAAATAGCCTGCTCAAAGCCACTTCTCAAGAAAGTAGCAAGACCAACATATGAACTTGCATTTTCCTAACGGTAGCTTTCCAGTCAACTTGCTATCACAGGTCAGAGTTTGGTTTATGGATTCTCTTTCCTCTCTAACTGCCTCCACTTCCTCCTCTTTCTCTCTTCCTCTCTCCCTCTTCCTCTCCCTCCTTCTCTACCTCTTTCTCTTTCTCTTTCCCTCTCCTCTCTCTCTCTCCCCCCCTCTCCATTTCTTCATCTCCCAATTTTTTGTATCCAACCCTTGAACCATTGCTGCTCATTTACATCTATGCTTTATTTTCCAGCTTTCCTAAAGCCAGACATAGGAGTGATGGCTACTTGGTATGTGGAGATTCAGCCCCTGAGACAAACCCACAGCTGTAAGCGCTGCCTTCCCCTCTCCAAAGAATTTTTAACACATTGCCAATTTCTGGAACCAGTGACGAGTCATCCAGCCAGTGGAGATTTCCCAATGGGAAGTTATTCTTGACATTCTTAATTCAGGCATGGCATGCATTTTCTCATGGAAAGAAAAGTACACACAATGTCCACATATGGTTGACATATTGCAAATCATACAGTTTGGTAGGCTGTGGCAAATATGAGATTTATGAGTCAGAGGAATAAGAGCTAAAACATTCGCTTTGGTCACTTTCTTGATAAACAGTCTTCACACGTCTTTCAATCTTTTCAGGCTTCCATTTTCACCTCTACAAAACAAGACTGGCAAATATATGCAGTCATAATGCTAAGAATTCACATACTTCATGTACATCCCAACACGGACCACGGGCTCAGTACATAGCCACTGCCACCTTGTCTTCAGCGCTCTGTTCTGGTTAGTCTGATGTGGGCATAGGCTGGACACATTTCTGTGCATTTTGACGTTATTTATAATATTATATGATTTATAATATGCAAAATTATAAATAGCATAATATAATATTATAATATATAATAATTCATGAAAAAAATTCTACAGGACACATGAGATTAATTATGCTGTAGATTTTTTTAGTCATTTGGTGTAGATGATCTTTTCAAGGGCTTTAAAAATTATTTTAAAAACTTAAAATACTATTCAGAGGATGCTATGGTCTAAATATTTGTATCCCTCTCACCCCAAAATTTATACAGTGAAACCTTATCCTCCAATTCTGATGGCCTCAGGAGGCGGAGCCAGTGGGTGAGAAGGTCAAATGAGATCATCAAGGCTCCTCCTCCACAGTTAGTGATCAGTGCTCCCACTGGAGGCAAGAACAAGACCTGCTTCTCTGCTCTGCTCTGCCTCCTACCATGAGAGAATGCCATCCACACCCCAGAAGAGGGACCTGATCTTTCTGTGCCCTGGCCTCCAGAACTGGGAACAAGTACGTTTTAGTGTTGGTAATTTGTTATGAGCAAACATTCCACAGCATGTTTACAAGTCTTTGTCTCCCAGATTTCCATTTGTTTGTATTGTTCTAATGATCCAAGGGATCTACCTGGAATCAACACTTGGTGAAGAGTTATAATCAGTGGGACGATCTGTACAATCTGCTCATCCTCTGTGCTCTAGTGATCCTGATCATTTTCCTAGAGCTCCTTCTTACCATACTAACTACCACTAAGACACCTGAACACTGTCTGTTCCCTACCTTCAATGTTCTTCTTCTAAATGTCCCTCTGATGGGCAATGGCTTTATAGCAGAGATTTTGTGGTGGTGAGCCCATCCTGTACCTTGGATACAGTTGTGGGTACATAGATCTACATATGTGATAAAACAGCACAAAAAACAATTGAATTTGCCTATGACCGTCATCTCTTTCAAGTCTCAACCACCTGCCCACCTCTAAAGAAAGCCTTGAAGAGATAACATTGAGCACTCCATTAAAAGCTTCAAACTTCTCCCATCTTTCCTTATACCTATGCTCCAACTCCCATTTCCTGCTATTGTTTTCCATATACACTATAGTCTCCCGTGCTACATAATTAACTTATCGTTCACTACGTGATGTGTCTTTCCGGAACCCACGTGCACTCTGACAAGGTTTTCTGATCATTGACATGCCTATGTCAATACTCTGGGACATAGTAGGTCTTCAGGAAGTGTCATTATTCACTCAACAAGTGGGCAAATAAAAAATGCCACATAAGCACATCTTAAAGGAAATGCCAGGAAGCCACTATGAGCAAAATATAATTTTCCAATAGAGCCAAGGGCCTTCGAAATGATTTTGACACTTGCTTCTGTGTACAATGCATTCTACTGACCTTTAATAAGAGGAAGAAACTCTTCGTGCCTGACTCGGTTTCTCTGCATGTCAATCTTTAGGGTGAGCAACAAAGTGAACAGGAATTTGTGTTCCTCATACAAGCCGCGAGCAGCATACTTGTACACTTCGAACGTCATGTGCTCGATGATATTAGCGATCCTCTTGCTTGTAATTGGGCTCCTGCCAGCCCTGAGGGAGAAAACACTGAAATCAGGTGCAGCGCACTGCCCTTTTCAGTTGTCTCTAAAAGCAGTGTCTTTAAAAGAGAATAAGTAATTTTAGAGGGCCCGTTCTTGTTTTTATGCATCAAATGTAAGCCTCCTAAATCGAAGATAACAAGTATTCTCTCAACATGAAATCACATAACGGAATCCTCAACATTGTCTAAATCAATTTTACCTACAGGGCATGATCACTCACAACAATGTGTTGGGAATTTTCCTGGTTAGCAGAAACACTTGAAACCAAAGGATTCAAATCAGCAGATGAAGAGTTGGTATAATTTTCTCTGATCATAAAGTGATGAATCAGAATGATTTGTTAACACACTGGTAATTACATTAATCTGAGCTTTGGAAAAGATTTAAAAAAAGACTTCCTAACAAAGGAGAAGGAAATCATAAATGTAAGGTCATCATTCTAATCCGTGGATAAAGAATTCAGCCAGGCTCCCTGAATGCAGACGTACCTGGCTAAGGAAAGGTCAAACAAGCCCAGAAACTGACGGAGTGAAGTCTGATACATTTCATTAACCAAGCGCATCTCCGTGATGAGGAAGTAGAGGATGCTGCCTCGAGTAGCAACTGAAAGACAGAGACCAAGGTTACACGGACTGCGTGAGTGGAAAATAAATGAGACCTGCAGACACAGCAGCCTAAACTCTACATTAAAATGTGTTCTGTTACTTTGTCTTCTCCGTGGGCCTACCAGGAAAAGGACAGAAAGCAATGCTCATTTATTTATTCAGCTATGCTATGTTTATGGACGAGCCTTATGTCTTAAGCAAATGGTACCTCTCATTTCAAAACCACTGGACACCTTAGTCAATATATCTTATTATATTTTAGCATAGGCAGCCAAGACAGCCAAGGAATTTCAGAGATTTTTACAGTGTCGCCCAGGAATAGATATGGCCAGCATTTAGGTCCTCATTCTGAAGCTTGTGAAGAATCTGTACTTAATACTTATTTCAAGTTTGCAAAATAAGCAATCCCAAAGGTACAGCTCCTGATGAGACAGTTTCACCTGTTTTCCTAGGAGATGTGATAAATTACTAACTGATGGCCGATTGAATATCTAACGAGGGATTAATTCAGCTGCCAGTGAATATATGTTTGCAAATGAGAATCAACACCAGGGAACCGCCTTCCTAGCACAAAGTCTGTGAACAAAATACTGGCATAGTTTTCAAGTGCTAAACAACTAGTGAACAGACTACAGTACCACACTAATTTCTACAATGCCACACATCTCCAGTCAAGACTTTTTTTAATCTCATTTTTTTCTTATTCTTCAGTGCATAAAAACTTTGAAAGATTTCCTGACTACTGTGAATTGCATCTAGAGGGCTTATACCATTATATAGTTCAGTTGGTTTTTTTCCACCTCCAAATTACAGAACTTCTCAAAAGCAATGCCATGAACTCTAATTGGCCACCTCACTTTGCAAAGTCCTTTGTATCATTTCCTGACTTCATTCAATTTCTCTAATTCTCATTTCCTTTCTTGTTCCAATTTCCAGTGGCATTTGTCCCTCATTACTGGACTCACCAGGCCTGTACTCCTCTCGGGCTGAGTTAATTTGAATTTCCGTCTCAGCAGAAATTTCCAGCTTCTGTGTCACCTCCTCGGCTGTCTTCTTGGTGTTGCTCAACACAATGATGAGACTCTCATCTTCCACCAGGGACCCCTGGGTACTTGTCAAGCGGTAAAGCAAATTGTCTTCAAGTTCCTTCATCCTTCTTTTGTTTGCAGTTACATCTTCCATAAGGTGAGTTCGCTCTTTCTCCAATTCCTGTTAATTTGCATAAATACATTTCCTTCATAAATTAACTATTTGGGGGAAGGAACATTCTGTAAAAAATGAACCCAGTCAGCCGCTCATGAGTATCTGTATTTTACTATATTTATCATAGCTGACTGCAAGACTCATAAACATCAACAAAAAAGGAAGAAAATTGATAAAAGGAAGGATAGAATGGGGTATCTCTAAGCTTGTTAAAAAATATTGTCAGTATACTATTGTCATTCATTTATTTCCTAGGTCAAATACTTGTATTTTTTGGAGGGGGGGAGGTCCGGTCGTGGGGCCTGTACTCTGGGCTTGGGCGCTGTCCCTCAGCTCTTCAGCTCAAGGCTAGAGCTCTACCACTTGAGCCACAGCACCACTTCCGGATTTTTTCTTTTTGCTTATGTGGTGCTGAGGAATTGAACCCAGGGCCTCAGGCATGCAAGGCAAGCGCTCTACCACTGAGCCACCTTCCCAGCCCAAATACTTGTATTTCTGTAACTACATTTACCAAGGCAAATATAATCTTGCCGCGAAAGTAAAAATGTGTGTGTATGTGTGCATGCACACGCACATGTGTGCGGGTATATATCAGTACTGGAAATTTAACTTGAGGCCTTTCTTGCTTAACTAATGCCTCAGCTCCACACATGGTCCTTTTGCTTTTAGTTTGTTTTCCATGTTGTTTTCATTGTACCTTTGCTCTGGCTGGACTCATGTCACAATCTTCCTACACATTTCCAAATAGTTGGGACTGCAGGCATATGCAACCATGCCTAGCTAGTTTTTGATTTAGAGTCTCACAATCTTATGTGAGGCACCATGTCATTCTTTTATTGTTTTGTTTTGTCAGTCGTGGGGCTTGAACTCTGGGCCTAGGCACTGTCCCTCAGCTCTTGACAGCTCAAGGAGAGCACTCTACTGCTTGAGCCATAGTGCCACTTCCAACCATGTCATTCTTTAAAGGTAAAATTTATTTGAAGACAAATACACAAACCTTAGATTCTATATATTTATTCAGTTTATATTCTTTCTTAAAAGAGTTTGCCATTGTTTGGATGTGATTATTTCAAATGTGCTGGGTGAAATAGTATCCAGGTCTATGAGAAGTAATTCTCCATAGCTAAGCAGGTATTCTAAGCTGATATTATAGATACCTTGACATTGAAACTTTTAAAAGCAGAGCATGGTAACAATGGGATGTATAAGACACTATGTTGAAAATGAACTTTACAACTTGGGGGGCAGGGGGCAGCTGGGGAGGTAGTGAGGGAAGGGATAGTAGGAAAAAAACAAAGGAGGAGGTAACAATGCTCGATAAGAAATGTACTCATTACCTTACTCATGTAACTGTAACCCTCTGTATACTATTTTTACAATAAAAAACACATTTTTTAAAAAGCTGAGCATGGTGGCTCATGCCTGTGATCCTAGGACTCACTAGTCAAGGCAGAATCGTCAAGAGTTCAAAGCCAGGCTTGTCTATATAATAACACCTTGGTTCGACAAGATACTAAAATCACTGGGCTTTGGTGGTTCGCATCTGTAATCCTAGCTACTCAGGAGGCTGAGATCTGAGGATCACGGTTCAAAGCCAACCCGGGCAGAAAAGTCCGTGAGACTCTTATCTCCAATAAACCACTAAAAACCAGAAGTGGCGCTGTCCCACAAGTGGAAGAGCACTAACCTTGAGCACAAAGAGGCTCAGGGACAGTGCCCAGGCCCTGAGTTCAAGCCCCAGGACAGGCAAAAAAAAAAAGGAGGGGCTGGGAAGGTGGCTCAGTGGTAGAGCGCTTGCCTTGCATGCCTGAGGCCCTGGGTTCTGATTCCTCAGCACCACATAAGCAAAAAGAAAAAAGCCAGAAGTGGTGCTGTGGCTCAAGTGGTAGAGTGCTAGCCTTGAGCTGAAGAGCTGAGGGACCAGAGCACCCAGGCCCAGAGTTCAGGCCCCACGACTGGACCAAAAAATAAAATAAAATAAAAAAAAAGGAAACTAACATAATTAAATTTTGAAAACTGAAAAATATTGGCCTGAAAAAACTTTCCCCTTTCTCCAAAAGAAGTAAAGCTTTGCATGTTTTCTAAAAAAAAACTGTTCCAGTTAGCTAGAAGAGTGGCGTTTGGGACTTTCACTCTCCTCTGTGGTTCTTTCTTTCCCTTGGCATCATGGAGAGGAACAAAGAAGGAAATGCAAGTGACACTGAATGTGATAAAAGAGCTATCCCCCATCGTGCCCCTCCCCCACCGTGCCCCTCCCCCGACAACAGAGAGAATACTTTGCTGGAACCAAAGTAAATTCTACATGAGAGTTACATGAGAGATTGTAACATCAAAGCTTAAAAAAAAAGAATTAAAAAGAAACGGAAATAGTATAAATAGTAAAGTTAAATTGTTTGTGTATGTGAGCCAGTCCTGGGTCTTGAACTCCATCCAGGCTTAGATGCTGTTCCTGAGCGTTTTTGTTCAAGGCTAACACTCTACCACGTGACTTATACTTTACTTCCAGCTTTGTGGTGGTTAATTGGAGAGAAGAATCTCTCAAACTTTCCTGCCAAGAGCTGACTTAAAAACGGTGATTCTCCTGAGAAGCTAGGATTATAGATGTAAGCCAATGGTACCCGACTGTAAATTTACCTTTTTGAAAGGAAGATAAATTCAGGATTTCTTTTGAAAAGTTTTGTAAATATATTGCACACTCACAATGGACCAAACCACATTAATAATTTAAAAAATAATGAATAATTCCACATAACTTTGGGTCTAGGGTTAAATGCAGATGCCTGAAGAACAAAGTCACAAGAAAGTACTTCTGGAATTTGGAGTGTGACTCACTTTGTGTCCAAGGAATGTAAAGTTCTCTGGACATAAAGTGCCACTTTCAAATTCCTTGAGCAACTTCAGAAAGGAAAACACTCTGAGCATTCAGGATATGGCCCAGGAGGGCTTCTGATTCCACTCTTCTTTGAGAGAACTAGACATCTAAGCCATGGTGAATCATATAATTCATATAAATAGAGAAAAGAGGAGCTAGACCTAGCCAAAACTGTCATTGTTAATCATTATGCAAGTTCTTTCACTGAGAAACATGGAGTTAAAAATAAAGCTTATAATGGTAAAACCCCATGGTCTCTGCTTTCTGTTCTGCATAGTTAATGCCTGATTGTATAGCTGTGGTAGACAGAATCCTACCAAACGTTTATCTCATGATCTAAAACCCAGGAGCTAGGTCCAGGGTTATTTTAGAAAAGACAAATTTTATCTTTAAGAAAAAAATATTTCTGAACTTCCATCAGTTCTTTATTGAGCTGTGGCAACTCCAGAAAAACCTGTACTATTGCTTCCATCTGGCTACATTTGAAAGCCTCCTTGGTGGTTATTCAAATTCATTTATTCACTAAATGAGAATTTCAAATTTCAAGAAATGGGGAAATTAGAATAAACATGTGACATTTTATGGTTGCTATAAAATTCCTTTTTATAACAGTTACTGTCAAAGTCCTCCCATTAGAGTTTCACTAGAAAATAAAGTCATCATGTTTTAAATTTTTTTCAAAAAAATCATAGTCTTCATTCTGAGTTCCTACAGGTGAACACTGTAAAGTTCTTGATTTCTGAATGCCAGGGGAGGAGAGGAAAAAGGAAAGGGAAAGGAAGGCAGGAAAAGGAAGAGAAAGAAGGGAAGGAAGGGAGGGAAAGGAGGTGAAGAGAAGGGAGGAGAAGGAGACATCTTGACAGCAGAATGGCACATGTTTGAATCAATACATGCACCATCTATAACTCCACAGGCCTCAGGTCTCTCATCTGCCAAACCGACATAGAAATAGCTAACACAATGCTGGTGAGGACATCGCCAGCGACACAGCTAAGCCAGAGACTGTATTAAGATGGTTGCTCACAATATGCTCTTACCTTCCATCTCTTCCTGATTCATTTCCAGCAGAATGTCAGAAGCACAATGATGCTCATTGGGAAAGTAAGATATCTGAACAATCAACTTGGCAGTTGTCACAAAGTAAGTTCCACTACTAGGTATGCATCCATAGGAAAGGAAATCAATACTTAAGAAACATCTACACTATTGTACTTACTGCAGTATGATTTGGAATAGCCAAGATAAGGAATCATTCATCAGTGTTAGACACACACGTATACATACACACACACATACACACATACACCACACCATACCATACCACACACACACACACATAAAAAGGAATATCATTTGGCTATAAGAGTGAGTAAAATCCTGTCATTTGCAGCAACATGGAAGAACCTAGAAGACATTATGTTAAGTAAAACACGAAATATATATTCTCACTTATCTGTGGAAGCTAAAAATAATAAATACCTTCATAAGAGAAAAATAATGATTTTCATGGCTGGAAATGGTAAGGAGCTTGAGAAGGGATGGAGAGAGGAATTGTACATAAGGCTAATTGGATAAGACGCATCATTTCTTCACAATAGTATAACTACAGTTGACAATAACTAATTACAGAATAATAGTCAAGAGGCTTTTAATATCCCCAATACAAAGAAATGATAAATGTTGGAGGTGATAGCTATATCACTTACTTTGATCAGATCTGTACCCATGTATTAAAACTTCACACTACAGCCAATAAAAATACACAGCATTGATCAAGATGTATCACATTCATAAACTGCTGCTTTACATGGCAACCTTTTTGCACAACTACTTAAGGATCATTTAAAAATTGAAAAAAAAATTGAATGTACACTTAAACTTGATACAAGACAAATAAATTCACATACTATTGTGCAATTATGTAATGAAGTCTCTTAGAAGAGAGGAGATAGGGAAGTTTCAGATCTTCAGCTTGGAATGCTGAAGATTCTGTGTCACCAGGGGACACAGCCACAATCAGCACCACTTCATCTCAATTCTTCCCTCACAGTTACCTTTTATCTTCTGTCCATTTTTCCCAGTTAGCAGCACAGCCCTCATTGAGGCTTTAATTCTTCCCTGGCTATCATTGGTCTCCCTGCGGACCTCCTGTTCCTCCTCTGTGATCATTTTTCACTCTCCCAGTCATCCAGAGGATCTTCTTTAGTTACTTGGAAAGGTCCAAAGTTCTCAACGTATTTTATAAATCTGTTACACTCTACATTTCATCTCTACTTGAGAAGCCTGGGGTTTTAGCTAAAAGCATGCTTCCGTGTTGCTTTTGAAAGCCATTACGAATAAAAATGGCAGTACTATATGCAATAAAGTAAACATCAAGCAACTATTGCTTAATAGTAACTGAACAGACAAAGCAGTACAGTGATGGTTGTGTTCAACATAATTATTAGTGTTACCAACGCTAATTGGATAAATTAGCCAATTAAGGTAACTTCCCACATTCCCAAACAAAGAAACACTAAGAATTCTACCACCCCAAGTTTGAAGTCTATTCAAATAAACTAACATAGTTAATACAACTTAAAGTGCAGTTTGGAATTGCATAAACAATCTGTGTATGAAATAGAAGGCAATAAATGAACATAAGAGCAAGACTGTGGTTATGGAAAAAGAACTATTATATGTGAGAGAAATAGAACAATTACTGTTTTTATTCAAAATGAAAAGACTTAAGATCTACTTTGGAATATGATTCGATAGGTGTTTTCATTTATATGGCTGATATAAACATATTTCTGTTAAATTACCACTTTAGCTCCACCAATGCATAAAAAGATAGTCCTTTTTAAATTAATAGGGGAAAATGCATTTGTTCATCAAATAGACGATCTTTTAGCAAAGATAGATGATAGATAGGGATAGATATACAGATAGATATTCAGATAGAGGTAAACATTTGTGCTAAGTGTAGTACACAATATATGCAAACTGAAAAATTTTATGAAGTTGTGATTATGCTAACTTTTGTTGAAACAATATCAGGTGAATAAAGTACAGAAAGTTTTTTTGTTTTTTTTTCAGGAAGTTTTTTAACTCATAAATATATTTGTTATAAAATGCTCATAAAAGTGCCCTAACCAAGAAACAAAGGAAAGCTAAAATTATTTGTGTACATAAATCTGAGCTAGGACCAAATTTTCTGAAATCAGTCCATGGAAGGAACTATTCAGTTTTCATTTTTCAAAGTGTCACAAGGTTTCATTAGCAAAGGTAATTTCTCTTTTGTCATTTACACAGGTAATTAACATGGAAAATTTAATGGGATTACAGAAAGTATTTTTTCTATCACCAATAAGCTTATGATACCAATATCTACTATATTTTTATATTACACAAGCCTATTTCTTTATCAAAAAGGCTTTATCCTTGCTGAAAAAATTTTATAGATCTCTTCCATGCTGGCTATGAGTTTAATCCCTAAGACTGAGAAAAATAAATGAATGTAGAATGGGAGTATGGCCTAGTGGCAGAGTGCTTGCCCAGCATGCACGAAGCCCTGAGTTTGATTCCTTAGTACCACAGATACAAAAAAATTAATAACACCATTAGAATAAAAGAGATAAATAGAAGTCACCAAAAAGAGAATGCATCTTTAAAAATAATAATAAATAAATAACTGTATTGCTGCACAAAGAAAACTGTGAAATCACTTTCAAAATCATTTTTAAATGAAATCATTTTAAAATCCTGTTTTCTAGGCAGACATGGTGGCACATGCCTACGTTCCCAGCTACTTAGAAAGCACAGATGCAGATGGATGCAGGAAGGTCACCAGTTTGAAACCAGCAATAGCAAGATTAATGAGACATTGACTCTCAAAAAGTTATTTTAAAAAATGGAAAGTAAGGGCATAACTTAAGTGGCAAAGCATTTGGTAACAAATATGAGGCCTTAGGTTCTTTGCTCAGTGCCACAAAAGCAGACAAGCAATGAATATATCAAATCTGTTTCCTTGCCTTTGTTTTGTTTCCTGGGGACGAAGGGGACTTGAACATATGTCCAGTATATGAGTGAGCACACGAGCACCGGGTTATGTCTGCTAATAATGCCTCCCCCTGCACCTCTATTCCCAGACATCAGACAGCAGGTGATTCATGAAATCACCTTTCCTGGGTCAGAACTTCTTTCTGCAGGAAGGTTCACTGTCCTAGAAGCAGGAGTCCACTCCAGTGAAGCTGTCTTCCGTCCACGCCCACACCTCCTCAGTGCTCTCCAATGCTGATTCCTAACTGTGGGGACTTCCCAACTTCCTGAATCACCTAGACTCAACAGAAGTTTCCATTTATAATTATCTAGGAAGTGATGGCTGCCAGAGATACTGCACTGTCAATGAAATCAAAAGAGTACTTGGACTTAAAATGTATTTTTCTCTGCATCTATAAGGCATAGAAATAGGCCATTCTCCATGAGGTCATTAGATTATAGGAAATCACCCAGAGCACCAGAGATCAGCTCACATTCAATTGTCCACCATGCACCACCAAGGCTATTCAGCCATTCAGCAGCAGGAGCAGGTTCCAGAAAATGATGAGAAGAGCAGACAAAAAAGAAAAGGCTTCCTAGAGGAAGTAGCCGACTTAAAAAAGTAAGCCCAACAACTCATGTCGGTCATCATAAGGCTTTATTTTAGAAAATAAATAGAGATACGGGTTGCGCCACCATGAGCATTAGGGTAAGATGGCCTTCTTCTGTGTATACAGAACACCTGTCTACTGGTGCTGGCCATACTCCTTAGAAGAAGTTTTTGTTCTGTTTTGTTTTGTGCAGCAACTGGGCTTGAACTCAGGTCTCATGTTCTCTCTCAGCTTTGCCATGACTCTAGTCTGGCATTTTGTTCCCTTATTGAAGATGGAGATTTGAGGACTTTGCCCGGGCTGGCCTAGAACCAAGATGGCCAGATCGCAGCCTCCTGAATAGTTAGGAGGAGGGGTGTGAGACACTGGTACCCAGCTGAAAGAATCGGTTACCATCAGTGTGGACAAAAGTAAAGAAGTCATTTTTCTCAAGGTACTTGATTTTCCCCAAAAAGAAAAATCAAGTCTAGCTGTGGATCCATATTGGCTCTGTGAGACTGAGCAACATTTTCTCGAGGAAGCTTTGCCGTCCCTTGCTGCCCCCACTGCCAACAAGGACAGCTCAGTGCTGTGATCACCATTTGCTTCGTTTTGTGTTGTTTTGTTCTAACATCTGTCCGAGTGAATGACTTTTTTCAAGGAAACTGCATGCATCTCAACTGAATATAGTAATAGAACTAAGAGCCAGCGCATCGTGCAGACTGCACTGGGGCTCCTGACCACCCCAAAGCCAACGCTGTCGGCGAAAGCAGACCCCTGACACGTGACAGATGCTACAGGAACACCCCTGGGACTCCCACTTGCTCAGCAACACAGGCTGCTGAGCAACAACCTCAATCTTTCTGGAAGTCATTGCATGACAGTGCTCAATTTCTCAAACTAACTCTATTGGGATCCCCAACAGAGGACTCAAAGATGGAAGGTTGTTATTAGCTCAATGTTTAATCTGTGATTGGAGGTACAACATTGGTTCCTGGCATGCTGAGGTCAGCCAGACACATACATTTCTGAAGCTGGATTAAGGTTCCTAAGGCTACTATCAACTTTATGAATCTATGAGTCACATTTGGAGAAAAGGGAAAAGAAGGCCAGAGAACGGAAGAGAATGAGAAAGAGAATAACACATATAGAGCTAGAAGAGCAGGCTGGATACGACACACAGAAAGAAGAGATGGTGGGAAGTGAAGACTCAAAGGTGTTGCCAGTGGTTTTGACCTAATATATCCTCAGGTCAGCATGGAAGGGGCCATGAAGGAAACTATGCTCACTGCTATGAAACTCTGGAGAAAGTCAGTAATATCTTCGAGTTCCCACACTTTGGCCATGGTGGTCTCATTAATAATCTTGATATTTTGGAGCTTAAGCTTCACATGCATCCTAAAGGAAACACTGACTTGAGAAAAGGCCTATAAGAAATATATATATATATAATTCTTGGCCACTTTTTACTGGAAGTTAGAGGGTACCTGACCAAAGTCTACAATCAGAAGTTCCAAAACTTCACATCATCTATTCCCTCACACATAAAGCACTCTCCAGAACATATAATGTCAGTTGTTGTTGGCATAGAAAGTTTACATCTCTTATTCTAAAAGCATAGAAGGAATCAAAAAAATGAAAACTTACATGTGTATGAGAAAACTGAAAGTCAACAGCTAAAGAGAAGTCCAACTAGAACAAACTTTTCACGAAAAGTAAGCAATTGGAGACCAAAATAATGATAGTCTCATAGATACATCGTCGGTATGGAGAAAAGCAACCAATGATCAACGTGATAAATGGGACATATAGGAAAACCATGGGTACATAATTGGTGAATAATTTCTTTTAGATTAAAAACAACTGATTTGGGATTAGTAGGAATAAGAGAGGAGAAGCATTGTAACAACTTATGTTCATCAGTGAAAGACACACGCAATAGAAAGGCAGTGTCACAGCCACACCTCACCCACCTGTTTCTCTGTGAGAATGACTCTCCCCAGCAGCTGGTCTTCCAGGCCTTTCATGGTGACAGTGAAGTCAATAATGGAGGTTCGTGCGCTTATTTCTGGGGTGTAGGCTGGATTGGGCAGTTTGGTTGTGAGGTAGAGTTTGAAGCCATCCATAACATCTACTTCCTTGTCACCAACCTTCACCTTTTATTTTAAAAGAAAATTAAAAATAATGAAAAGGGTATACTTTGCTGCTTCCTTTTTTGTATATTTCGAGTTCTGTTTTATCCAGTTTTGTGACTGGATATGATTTGTATACTCACATCTGTAATCCTATTCAGGAAGTTGAGATCTAGACTGTGATTTGAAGCCAGGTAAGTCAATAAGACTTTTATCTCCAATAAACTACCAAAATACCAGAAGTGGAGCTGTGGCTCAAGTAGTAAAGCATTAGTGTTGAGCAAAAAAAGCACAGGGACAGCATTCAGGCCCCAAGTTCAAACTCCATCTCACACACACACACACACACACACACACACACACACACACACACACACACACACTGTCATTAACTTGGCTTCAAGCCATTAGGATGGAAAGAAGCAGAGATGCCTTGATTATAAAAATAACTTAGATATACAAAAAAAGATTGGTTTTTGAATATTTTCGATCAGAAAGTACATCAAAGAAATTTTCCATTCACTACGGACTCCAATTTGCATTGCTGCCTAGCAAGACAATCCCATATTGATGGGGTCTCCCATGTTGACTCTGCATGCTTTTATCTATGAGTTTAACCTACCTTAAAAGTAGATCCAGCTTTAATAAAATTCTTCTCCAAAATATTATCCAGAGCTGGATCCAGCTCCTCCCCGATGTCTTCAATAAGCAAAGGCCTTCCAAGAGAAAGACTGTCTTCCAGGTGGTTTCTGAAGTACTTGTGATTTAGAGACGTGATCTAAAAACAAGGTCACAGGTTACTCTCCACAGACAGGTCTCCATACAAGGCTAAAGGCCTCTAACAACAGGAGGCAAGCACACCTTAATTTGGAAATCTACTGGGTGAAATGGTGCAGAAAGTTTAGCCCATTTCCCTTGTTTCCTTTGCCAGATATGCCAGGAAGCACTATGTGATTTTTTTTTCCTCACAACAAACTTAGTGACAAATAGTAAAAATCAGGAACTGTCCTTGTGAGTGCTGCACACATAATGTGCCACAGCTCTACCTTTCTGGATTTATCAAAGAGAGTCTGAGGGTACTGAAAGATGGCCTTCGTGAAGACGAACACAAAGGCAAGTGATGAGATGGTTAAAAAAGAGATTTTTGTCATTGGGCTTAAAGCGAATCTGCTTCTGCTCTTCCTGGGATCGTCCAACTATATGCATAGCTTTAAACATTTCTTTATTCTTGGATTCTCAGTAATCTGAGGAGATAAAATTTGAGCAGTAGCATACTCAAACACAAATCACCTGCAGTTCATTCTGGCTTTCTTTATTCTTAATCCAGATCTTGCCTTGAGTCTGCGGATCAATTAGTAAAGGATAACGAGATGCCTTTGTGACAATAATTCCATTCTGGACGGACAGATCATCGTTGGGCAGACCTTGGAGGCTCCACTCACTGATGGTGGGGGCATCGATCAGCATCTCATTCAGATTTAGATCCTTTCCGAATGGAATTTTCCGAGCTTTCATTTCTTTCTCCCAATCATTTAACAGCAGGTGTCGAAATTCTTGGTTAAATGGGCCAGAATAAGACAGAAAAGCTGTAGCCAACAATACATCCCCTAAAACACACACAAAAAAGAAACCGGTGAAATACAGCACAATCATCCTTGTCACTGCATACTACATATTATAATTTTAAATTCCACCAATCAAATCGTAAGCACCTGCTGTTGCCACTGGATAAATATGCAGATCGTGGTTAAGCAGGGCCCAAGTGGCCTAGCAAGTAATAGCTGCAAGTAACCGAACATGGAATGATTTTGAGTTTTGTTGCAAGTGAAATACTGATACACAGCAGCTCAGAAGACTGAGCCTTCATTCAGTATCGAGCAACATTCCCGTGTACTCAGTAGAATTCAAAAGTGACCTGATCATAATAACTGTAAAGGTCATCAGCCCATAGATAACATCATCCAAACCTCTGAACCGGCTGCGCGTGCACACGTGGGAGTTGCGCTTGCACGTACACACGTGCGTTTGAGGTAATGCAGTGTTGTTTGATGAAAGCTTAAGCTTGCTAAGCCTCTATCAAGTATAAGCCCGTTCGTAAGGGAATTTTACAGACCTACGAGTCGCTTGGTTTGTGCAGCGAACTCCTTGCTTTGCTCTGTCCACCGTGCCTTTTCTCCGGCCAAGCCCCTGATGAGCGTGGAAGCGCTCTGCATCTTGTGCCTGCACCGCTCCGCATCCTCCAGCAGGGTCTAGAGAAAAGCAGCACCGAAAGAAATGCCTTATTGAGAAAATACAGCCTCCCACCTTCCTCAAAAACACTTCACGCTCTATAGGAACTTCCTTCCTGAAGCCAGACACTCCACCAGAAGCAGAGGACGCCATCTTCCTGGGCCTGTGCTGCCCACTGCCGTCTCTGCCCTGCCCACAGAACGTGGGGACCTGCCTTGGAATTCGAGCCATGGCGCTCAAGGTCAGACTCTCCCCCAGACTCACAACTCACGGACAACAGAAACTTATATACTTCCATGGAAGAAAAATGAAATATTAAAGAAGAGTGAACGATTAAAGAGAAAGGAAAACTAGCATGCATGCCAGTATCATAGAGCACAAAGTAAAGAAATGGATATCCTTCGGGAACATTCAGATATACCTCTCCTGTGAAGGCCTGGTTTCTTCGCTATATCATCTAACTCTACCCCTCCTTTTATTCAGGTCAAACGTTAAGACTGTCTTCAGATCTGAGGCTCCTGAACAAAGGTCAACCACGCTTTGTTTTGTTTCCTAATTTTTGTATATTAGTGATGGACCCCAGAGACTGGGGTGTACCTATCACTCTGTGACTAAGATATATTCTAGCCCAGAGCCTTAGTTCTTTAACACAAATGCCTCTGTTTCTCTATATTTAGGAGACAACTAATAATTCTATGTAAAGATTTATGCTCACCAAATAAAATGAGTATGGACAATCCTTGAACTATATGAATACTGGATGTTCATTTATAATTACCACAAACACCTGTATAATTTTATTGAGTATATAGGTATATTTATATCATAGTACCAAGAGCTTAACTTGTTTTGCTTCTTGTCTTTAGCAGGCTTATTTAAATTATTATATCAATATGAATACTCTGAGGCCCTTAAAAATTATCATCTAAATGTTTTATAACCAAGAAAGTGAGGCAGGATAGATCAGAGAAACAGCCACCAGGAATTCAGAGACCGACGCTGCATTAATGAATAGCTTGGTTAAAAGCACAGAAGCACTATTCCGTTTGTTTTAAGCCTTACATTCCCCCATAAGCTGTAACAGTTATTAAAAAGAGAAAAAGGAAAAGGAGCAGCTCTCCCCCTCTGGCCTTGTCCTCTCTCCCAAATAATTGGTATACTCTGAGAACGGAGCAAGGATATCTTCAAGAAAGAAACTCACCTTGGGGTTAGGGAGAACATGGGGGAAAATAACTCTCTTGGCACAAAAAATGCTTAGCTCAAGGATGGACAAGCCTCTGAGGGGAATGCATGGCAGAGTTCATCCTTTGCTGGGAAGGATGCCCAAATGTCAATGACCTGAGTTTAGTAAGGCCAGCCTTGACATCTCTGTGCCCAAAGGATAAAATAGTGTAGCAGCAAGAATGACAGACTGTGCCAGGTGTTAGAATAAAGAGAAGCACTTATCCTAAGGTGAATTTGAGACAAACCCCATCCTACCTGTTTCAGCATAAATACCCCTGATGTCAGAGCACTTGTTGCACCAACTAGCAGAGGGCTCTACACCACCTCTGAATTGTGCAGCTTTGCTTTACTACAGTATTTCATTTTCTTGGCTCCAATGTGTCTTAAAACTCTTTTTTTCTTTGACAAAATCACAAGCTTGGTAACCAAGGGCCAGGCCTCTGCCACACTGAAATGGTAACGGCAGTTTGGCAACTTCATCAGCTGGAGCACCATCAGATGCATCCAGTGACAAAGTAGATCATGATATTTTTCTAAGTTAAAAACTTGCTTTATAATATATTCACTTTGTAGCTAGTTGCTGGGTGCTACTGACTCATGCTTGTAATCCTCGCTGCTCAGGAGACTGAAATCTAAACATCACATTTTGAAGTCAGCTGGGGAAAAATCTGTGAGACTCTTACCTGCAAATAACATTACAGCAAAAGGCCAAAAGTGGAGTTGTGGCTCAAGTGGTAGAATGTTAGCCTTGAGTAAAATGCTCAGAGATAATACCCAAGACTAGCACAAAAAAAAAGTATGTAGTGGATATGACTGTTATGTTTGTAAATAGGCTTAAAATATATATAAATAGGGACATATGTTCAGCTATAGGATAATAAAGAATAAAATATTATTAGGATTCCTCTTCGGGGTTACCTAAATACATTTTCTATAATGAACACAGACTGATTCTGCAACAATAACACAAGAACTTGCTTTTGAAAGTGAGCTATTTGATCCAGTTTGTCCTAGTTTCCTCACTATTCTTTCAATGCAGAAAACTAAACGTCCAACTGAGAGGCACAGCCCACATCCCTAAAACCCACATGAATCCGCTCCTCCCCAGAGCAGCTCTGCAATGTTTGATTCCACATCATTATTAGAATCACTTGTTTTCACTAAATACAGACTTTCAATTGACTTGCTTTCCCTAAAATCTCTATCCTATCCTGTTCTTCCATCCACCCTTTCTTGGCTTTTGTTTTCTGGCTCCTTGATCCTTTGGGGTCTTATGATATGGGGAAGGAGACAGAGAGAGAAAGAGAGAGAGAGAGAAGGAGAGAGAGACAGACAGACAGAGACAGAGACAGAGAGACAGAGACAGAGACAGAGAGTCTGAGGACACAGGAGGGACAAGCATTCCCCGGAGGCTGGTTATGGGCCCCAGCCCCTACATCTATTCTCTCTGAACTATTCAGTAAGGTGACTCGATGTTTAGGAGGCCAACAAAAGCTGGCGACTAAGCAAAGTCTTTGTGAGCTTGTAAAGACTCCCGGCCATGTTCTCCCCTGTGTCACCATGCAAGCCTGAACCATAATGAATGCGAGACTGGACCCTTTCTAGATACCTCATAAGCCCGAGGGAGAGGGAAGGGCAGCAAAAGTGACTAAAGCTTCACACATTGGTGACAGCAGGTTCCTGGCCAGAGGTTTTTCCTTTAAATTAAGAACTTGCCATTATTAAAACACAAGTTTTAAATCAAAATTATAGTTTTCACAGCAGTGTTCCTATGATTTAATTAATTACAGATACTCAAAATCAAAAGCATTTACTGAATGATTTAATACAAAATGCTAACATTTAACAACAACAACAAAAAAATGAGCAAGCACAATATTTTTACTGTGTGCAGTAGCCCTTCCTGCTACAAGTGAGGATTCAAATGCTAGAAATGAATGGTCCTTTTTTACAGTTTTTGAGTTGTGTCTTTCAAATTGCAATATTAATTTGTTCCTCATATAAATGAATTCTATGGTGAATAAGTACACAAACTTATATAGGTGCTGTTAAGTTATTTCTCTAAAGGTTTTTTTTTAAAAAAAAAACTCTTGCATTGCTTTCAGGAGACATCTTTTAGTTAATTTACTTCCTTGCTATGATAGAGGCGATTTATAGAGGGATTATGATTACATGAGTCAGTAATGAGCACATTGCTTTTTATACAGTGTCTTCTGTTCCCTCACTCTCTCCGAGTCCCTCCCTCCCGTCTCCACCTTTTAAGAGAAAACGTCATGCATTGTGCATGAACTGAAGCTGAAGAATTACAAGCAGGAATGTCAACCTAGCTACACAAAGGCTGAGATGGGACAGAGGCAATTTTTATAAACAATTGAGGGAAACAGTAGATCTGGCTCCTATTTACCAAATATAGAATTTATCAGGAGAAAATGCAGATGTTACAGTGCTAGGAATTTATATTACTTGGGAAAGGGATCACTTTAAGCAAAAAAAAGTCATTAGAAATTTTCTATAAATAAAATACAAAGGGGAGTATATATTTAGAATAGGGAAAAATCATGACTTAGAAACTTAGTGTCTTTTATCTGTGATCTCTTTGGGCATTTTTTATTCTGTATGCCAAACTTAAAAGACATTCTGTTGATCTTCACCTGGTTTCCTCTCCTCGTACAATGAGGCACAGCCCCAGGTAACCCAAGCCCTCATGGGTACCTATTCAGGTAAGGGACACTGAAGCTCTATATTTAATCTGTCTTGACTACCAGAAGGAAGGAGGTCTCAATAGATCTTGAATTGGTGTAAGTAAAATAAAGAGCTACTAGGCAGGTAACACATAAACCTGGACTCTAAAAACTGCAAAATTCCAGAATATACATAGGTAGAGAAAGCTGTTCATAGTCACTGTCCTTGGGATATATAGCCTTATAGTTAGTTATATTCATCAAGTAAGAGTCCTGAAGTAAGCCTCAAAAAGCCAGGCCAGATTATATCATTGGTCAAACTATGACTAGAGCCCTTACTCTGAACCTCTGTAGATCTTAAGCTCCTTTCTGTAAAATAAAAGTATCCACCCTGTCTACTTTCCAAGACAATTTCAAAAGTTAAATGAAATAAAGTGATGAGACATGATTTGAAGCACAAAGAAAACTCATGTCTGTGAGTAACAGTCTACAGTCAGTAAAGGACAAAGAGTGGGTGTATATATTTTGTATCAACACAGTGAATCCCTGCTACCAGCCAAGCGCTTGAAGAGAGGAAGTAGACGAGGGACGCAGGCTTCCATCAGCCACGCAGGTGGGCGACAGTCCCTCCCCTGGGATGGTTACCTGCTTTTCAGTCATGGCCTGTTCATACTCTGCCTGCACCACGTCAAGCTCTGCTTGCTTCTCATCCAGTTCCGCCTGTGCCTTCTGCAGATCCTGCATGGCCAGAACGTAGCGATTCTCCTGCACCACCAAGTTGGCCTGCACAGGATGCACAGACAGCCAAAGTCAGGAAATGCCCAAACACCCTGCAGTCTCAAGTCTGGGAATACAGAACACTTGCATGTGTATCCTGGTCCTTTGCTTCATTCCTAGGATCTTTACAAACCCTTAAGGCCAAATCTTAAGGTGACCTGGTACACAAGTTCATCGGCAGGATATACCTGTCGGCAAACTTTTCTCGGTGAAGTGCCAAATGCAGTACCATGCTCTCAAGATGCTGGACAGGAACAGAAAGTGAACCACACACATGCCAAGGGCAAACACCTAACATCTTACAGGGTGCCTTCATGCCAACTATTTGGTTTGATAGTTGTACTAAACTATTCTCAATCCACAATATGCATTAAATACCAATACACATATCAGAGAGTCTAAACTTGTAAGCCAATCATCTGAAGCTATACTCAGTAGGACAGTATTTGTCTAGCATGTGTAGACCCTGGGTCTGATCTTCCATACCATGAAAATACAATCACAGAACCACTGGAAATGGCACTGCTTGTATTTAAAACTGTCTCCCTAAAGTTGTTCTTTCTTGGTTACTTTGATATGACTATTGAAAACTAACAAAGATACTGTGTGTCAAAAATCTTACTAAAGTAACCCACTCATGATAAGCTATCATATTGTCAGTGTTTCCTACTGCTTTATTTGGAAAAAAGTCATAATTTTTTTAAATGAAGCTAACCAACATAATTCAAACACAGATGCCCAGTTTAGAATCTCTAGAATTCTTTGCAACTTGCTTAAACAATGCAACTTGCTTAAATACTGTGCAGCCTGTTTAAATAATAATGTACCCATTAAAACAATGAAAAACTTCCTCCTCAGATTTTTTGTAAGAACTAAAGGATATACTATGTTAAAAAAAAAAAAAACAGTATAGGAGCTAACATGTAACAAGAATTTAGTACAAAATAGATACCATCATTATCCATGTTCAATACTTAAGGCTCTATTCATTTAAAATGAATTCTATTTGTATGAACTGATATTTTCATACAATTTTTCAAAGAGATATCTCATTACAATAAAACTGAACCAGATCTAGATTCTATAATTAATATTGATTTAAATGTATTCCTTAATCAAAGTCGCTTGGCCCATGTACAGAGATACCAGGATGAAAGAGAGCAGCCCTTCAGTGGCTCTGTGTTGATATTAAAGGGATTTCATTCAGAGTTTAGGGACTGCCCTTGATCTCTCCTTACTTAGGAAGCTAGAGTTTGCAAGAGAAGCCCCTCCAAGGATACGATAAGGCAGAGGCCTGTGTCTATATAGCTCAATATATTCATTAGAATCACCTTTCGATGACCTATACTCCCTTCATCTTTCACCCCTGCCTGGGGAAATGAACGTATAAAATCTGCACAGCAGCACTTATTTAACTGAGGGACATAAGATGCTTCTGATAAGATGAGTGGTTCAATATTCTAGATTGCTCATGAGATTACAGGAAGGCACTTCTAGGGCTGACCTCTCAAAAGGAGAAGCACAGCATCCAGGAACAATTAAACAGTTCCCTTTGCCCTCTACTGTATTGCCTATATCATCCTGAGACCAGGAAGACGCTGAAATATGAAAGGTATTGAACACAGGGGAAGAGAAACATATGTAACCCCACTCAGAATGTCCACTATTCTTAAAATAACTACAATGAAAGACAAACTACATACCAAAAATTCAACTGTAATTCCTTTTAAGACACTATGAATGTATGCTTATCCATTCAAAAAAATGTACAAAAGATGTCCTGTACTTTTTGACATTCTGATAAAGGTTTGGTCAATAGCAGATCATCTACTTTTTTAACTAGGCCAAAGTCTTCAATGAACCCACCATGCATAATGTCAGACAACATGACACCAATTATTTGCTCTCCCAGTCTGCTCTTTTAATATGTCCAACGATTCTGGACCCAGAATAAATGGCACTGATATGGTAATAATTAGAAATTATAACTGAAATTATCATTCTACACCTGTCTTTCTGCTGCCCTTGATTATTTTTCTTATGATGATGAAGTTTTGTGGAGAGTTTATAGGTAAGCACAAGTAGATTTATTTGGTGGTTGGAAAAGACCAAACTTATCCAAAAGTAAAATCAATCAGCCAAGCCCTACATAGGGTTTTTGAGACCACAGTCTTTCATTTTCAAAAAGTGCACTTGTCTGCACCTATAGCTTCTAAAGACTTAGTATCATTTGGATGGGATAAATGTAAAAATGAGGCTTACAATGACTACTTAAATAGAAGCATAGTCATAATCTGTAAGTCACATTAAATAACAAAGGGAAGAGATCCTTTCCGAGTAGCAAAGGAAGAGAGGGTCGTATTTTCCTTAATCCAGGAAGATGCTAAGCATCTCCTGATCTCCAGAGTCCTTGTCTCAACCTGCTCCCTCATACAATCCATTGACTCAATTTTTGGAGATTTTTGGAGATTTTGGGGGGGGGGGGCAGCTGTAATTTGTGGTCTTTTTTTTTGGTCAGTCGTGGGGTTTGCACTCTGGGCTTGGGCGCTGTCCCTCAGCTCTTCAGCTCAAAGTGAGCACTCTACCACTTGAGCACAGCGCCACTTCTGGTTTTCCGGCTTTATTGGAGATAAGAGTCTCACGGACTTTCCTACTCCAGCTGACTTTGAACCACGATCCTCAGATCTCAGCCTCCTGAGAAGCTAGGATGACAGATGGAAGCCACTGGCACCCTGCAATTTGTGGTTCTTAGAGCTAGCATTGTATGAGAAAAATGACGAGCAACCCACAATGGACTCAGTGTCCGAAGAGAATCAGACCATCCATAAGGGTTCACACAGGTTTGGTTGGAACAGGCCTACAGAGGAGAATAGGACATCTTGTGAGCTGTCTTTCTAATACTCACTCTCCTGCAGATCTAAGCACAAGAACAGGGAGGAGGAAGAGTCTTGAGCTAGTGGGCAAAGATAAGACCAGTTGAGCTGCAGTCCCCGCCCAGGCGTGGTTCACACAGTTCTTCCCTCCAAGGAGTACCTTCAGAGGCAGCACCTCTTTGTTTATAGAAAAGAAGGACGCCATGGCTTTGGTCCAGGAACAAAGTCCCGCTACATTCCCACATACACGTTTTGCAGTTTCAATGTTGTAGTCTGCCATTTCAAAGTAAGGATTCAAAAACTCTATTACTTCCTCATTGATGGTGTCTTTGGGGAATTGCTGTGGAGGAAAAGAGAAAAATTAATCAGAAACACTGCTTTGCATGAAGAAAAACGAATATATGATGCTCTCCATGCAATGAACCTATTGGGCTCAGCATAGCATGTTATTACCATCACAAGGTATTAGGCAAAAATTGTCAAGGTGAGAAAGCAGCCAGGCCTGACTGCAGAAGTCTGTTAAGCCTCTGTTTACTGTGGATGAGAGGTGCCAGCCCTACATAAACATATTGGGATCCAGAAAAAAAGAAAATTATTTAGGTGGTTAACACTAATGTGGTTATTCGAATTTAAAATTTCCTTGTCATTAATCCTAAATAGGTGAATCACAAGCCCATAATACCAACAAGGAAAAACAAATCCACAGAGATACATTCAGCCTAAGGACATATAGATTGAGCATTTATCAGAAACTAAACACTTAATACATTCAGACAGAAGCTCTATTAAGTTCCCATGAAATGTGAAGATAATAACTTGGACATTAGACCTTGAGGATGGTGAATTAATTTTTAATCATTGAGCTATCAAGAATATGAGAGAATTATTATCTTCTGGAGGGATACAATTTTAAAATAGCAACAGAAATGGACTGAGAATGTCCTCCTTTATCACAAAGAAAAGACTGGCCCAACAAAGAAATGAGACCTTTATAAGAGTGGTGTTTTCTTGTCTAAGTGGGGATGGTTATACATTTGTCAAGTAGAAACCAAGTAAGCACGTAAATAATTTAGTGAAGTAACCCTTCACATAACATACCATAAGAACACACGCTCACTCACACCTTGCCTAATACACATCTCCTAGAGCTTGACAAATAGTGGGCAAATAGCGAAGCCAGAAAAAAAAATACGTAGCAGAGTAGAAGAGGATGGTGTAACAAAACAAAAAATAGCAAAAAAGTTTGCAAGAGCAGTAAGCTGGCCACCAGGTGCAGAAGGCAGGAATCTGGGCCATTTTGTCAAGATACTGTTAAAAGACAATTACTAGTTTCCTAAGCTGCTTACTGTTGTAGCAGCGAGATATTATAGGCATAACACTGTAGGCATAAGAATCTCACACACATGATGAATTGAAAACTAAAGTCAAGATTGTGCTAAAATTACAGTTTAAAAATGGAAATGGCTTGGGTACATCTGATTCATTGTCTCAAGATGTGAAAAATAAAACAATAAAACTTCTAAGAAAAAAAGCTATGGGAGAATTACTGTTCCTCAGGGGTGAGCCAAGATCATAAGGCATGCCTAAAAAAATACTGATGATTAAAATTAACAACTTTGGGGTTAGAGGTGTGGTTCAGGTGGTAGAATGATAGCCAGGGAGCAAAAGCATCAGATCCTGAGTTCAAGTCCTGGTCTCAGCTTAAAAGAAATTAATTTGGGCTTGTCAAAACATAGCATTAATAAAGTGAACTAAGCCAGGAAGTAACAGAAGATACCTGTGATACTCTACAAAAGAATTCACAATGTTAAGACAAAAGACTTAATCAGAAACTGAACAGAAGAATTCCCAAAAGGCTCATAAACCTAGAAAAGACTTCCAGCTTTCACAAGGAAATGGAAATTAATAGGGCACTGCTATAAACCCGCCAGAATAGCTAAAAGAAGGGAATGGGGAAGGTGTAGGACACCTTATCACCACTGGGGTGTAGGTCAACTGCATGGCAGCTTGTCTCCAAATTGTTTGTCTGCATCTACCAATACAGCCAGTGGTGGCTCAATGATAGAAAATATTTGCACCTGCATTGAACTTATACAGAACTATTTCTTATCATGATTCCTTGAAAAATGCAGCGTAGAAGCTATATACACAGCATTTATAATGTAGTAGCATTTATGATTACCTAGGAGAGGTGATTCAAAGCATCTAGGTCAAAGCACAGGTTCAATGAAAATACTATATTATTTTACATAAGGGTCTTTCTGTTCTCATGGGGTCCTTTCAGTCCCCTGAAAGTACTGGAGGATAGCTATTTGTCGATCTGTATGCATCATAGGCATGCATATACACATATATAGGTTTCTTCAAATTTTTTTAACTTTTATTGATGTTCGCATATTACCAATAATGCCTTAATACACCTAAAGTCTGGAGGAAAATCTCTAATATATATTATATATTCTAGTATATATTCTATATACTATATGATATATATATTGTATTACATGTGATATATATGAGTATGTATATTATATGTTATAATCTCTTATATTAGAAAAACTAACTGAAAAAATACATGTGTTCAAACATATATGTATAGTGACTCCCTCTTCGAAACAAATTCTACCCAAGGACTCGACAATTCAGCTGAGCCTCTTTTATTCCATCATTAGTGAGCTACCTACCTGTAAATTCTGCAAAAAGTTCCCTGCAGTCATCAGCTTTAGAGATTCTTGCCAGGAAGGTATGGTACAGCTCTTGTCCAGGTCAATTTTCACAGCATTGACCTTCCTTTGAAACAGCAGCAGCACGCAGTCCATGATCCGCATGATGAGGTGCGGAGGTCTACCCAGTGTGCGGACGGTGGCAATGTCCGAAGGCTTGATGGTCTGCAGAGTGAGAGGAAGGGTCATGCAATCTAGGGCAAGAAAGCACTGGCAACCCACCCTTTCATGTCTTACACCACCATTTTATTAGTGGACACATAATATTTTTAAGTTAGATGCAGAGACATCCCGTAGTAGTGCATGTCCCAAAACATTCACACTTTTTACAACTCAATCTGACAGTCAACGGACAGAAATGTTGGTGCACAGATAGAGGGTAGAACTGTAGAAACTTACTTTGTGTCCAAAATAAAAAGTACACACTGAAAATAAAAAATGATAAAGTGGATTTGCAACTAGCAAAATTCTGCACTTGCAATGGGTTTTGTGTGTGTGTGTGTGTGTGTGTGTGTGTGTGTGTGTGTTTACACATTAGTTATGTAGGTCAAGAATCTGCCTCTCTATTAAGCAACTCAGACTTGTCACAGTGGACTGACACCAGAGGGTAGCCGCAGGGCTGACAGATTGAATAATTAGAAGTTTCTTCTCTGGGAACTGACCTTTAAATGAAGGAACTTGGGCAATGTGAATTTCACAAAGCTCTCAGAAAAGTTCCATTATGCGCAGCTATTCTTATGGCGTAAATTACTTAACACTCAGACTCATTTAGGTTGAGAATAATTGGTCTCTCTCAAACACTTCATGAAATAAGTATTGAAAATTAATAAATATAACAATGTAATATTAAATATAACAGCATTATCTGTAGGACAAACAGCATTGATTATATCCTGGTGGGTCTGGCAAACCTTCTGTCTTGTTTGCATTTGCATCCCTCCTGTCAACAGAAAATAACCAATGACCTTCTCTTCAAAGCTAATGAGTTTTCTCAGAAGACTGAGAAGGAACACACGTACCAGACTTGATGATTTGTGAATGTAACTATGTACCATGAAAAGATTTATTTCAACATATTAACATTTGTGAAAGCTAGATGGGTAGACGTTGAGCATTTGTGGAAAAGAACTGAAATGGCAGACTTCTGTTTGAGATAGGAGCCACGAAAGATAGAAAATAAGTAGAATGGCATGTTTTGGAGAAATAGGATTCAAATTATATAAGACGTAAGAGCTGGGCAGGCTTAATTTTGCTTTCACTTTAGTAGGTCGAATTTTCAGACAGGTTTGGGCTTATACATTGCATACTCAGGGTGTGGGATCTGAAGTTCAATCTGTTTTGTGTAAGGATTGAATTCCCCTTTTATCTGCAAGCAAAGTAATGTGACTATTATATGCTCTTCTCCATACTCTAGCACAGCTAGGTAACAGCTGAAGATAATTATTACTTTCAGATCAATCCTTTAGATGAGGAGGGACATATTCTTCGCTGTTACCTCCATTTATTGTACAAATTAAAGTAGCTTGATGCCATACTATTAGAGAACTTAGTATAAAATGGTAGTCACCTACTACAAGATTTTAAAAGATCACAGAGAAGCAATAAAGATTGAGACAGAACCAATTTTTTTTGGGTTGTTTAAAAAAGTATCTCTCTAACACATCCTCCTAGGATGTCAAAGCCCTAAGTGTTAAAGGTTTGCTCCCCACGGCAGTGTTTGGAGAAGTGAGTGGATCTTTAGCAGGTAGGGCCTATAGGATGCTATTAAACCACAGGGGTTATGCAATTGAAGGAGACAGAACAACATTTGTTGTTTCCTCTTATTTTGCTTCTGCCATGCTGAACTGCAGAGTAACAGACCCAAAGCAACAGAGGTAAGTGGTTGTGAAGTAGAACCTCCAAAACTGTGGGCCAAAGAAATTCCGTTCTTTTAATAAGCTGACTGTCTTGTGTACTTTGGTATAGTGATACAAAGCTGGCTAGCATACACCTTATTTCTATGTACATTTCTGCACCAATAAGTAGGTGATGCCAGATATCTTAGTGGTAAACAGCGCTGAAACGCGACACAGGAAAACACTTTGTAATAGCAAAAAAGATGTCAACTCTTTCCAACCATAAGGAGATACCAGCCTTTTCAGCAAGACCTGAGAGGCCCTGTGGTCTAATTCTGATTCCATCAGGGACTAAGGATTCAGCAAAAAGTCTGAAAGGTGATTCTCACTGAGGATCAAATACGCTCTGTGCATTCAAAGGTGGGAGGAGAAAAGTTGCAACACCCACAAACCTGAGAAACCAAAGGCCCTGGAGGACATCCAGGATGAGGGACGGGAGTCTAGCTAGTGCATGAAGAAAGGGAAAATCAATGAGGAGATACGTATGAAAGTCAGAAAAAAGTGAAGGCACTTTCTTCACTATCTCAAAAGAGCAAGAATGCGTATGTTTTGGTGATGATGGTGGTGTGGAGATGGTGGGTGGTGGTGGTGATGGTGGTAGTGGTACGGCTGCAACAGATTGAGTTCAGGGTCTAGTCCAGGCTAGGCAAGCCCTCCCCGAGAGTACATCCCTCCACCCATGATAAAACATGATAGGATGTTTATAGAAAACATTATGATGTTTTATATTGGATATCATGGAAAAAAATTATATTAAGTGAAGTAAGCCAGGCCCAAAGAAACATGGGTCCCATGGTTTCCCTTATTTACAATAACTAGTATATTTCTGAGACAAGCAGAAAAGGTCAGATAAGATGATGCTAGGCGAAATGAACCCCAAGATAAGGACACAAGTGGTTTTTTTTTCTTTCTTGCTATTGTTCCTAACTTATTTATAAGGTGATTGTTTTGTTGCTTTGTATGTCCCTCCCCTACAGTATAACCCCTGTTTTCACTGTATTTGATGTTGGTATAATTTGGGGAGGGGAAGGGAAAAAAATTTGTTTAAATAGGGATACAGGTGGACCCATTGCAACAATGAGTTTTACAAGATGCTATGTCAAAAAAGGAACTTTAAAACTTTGGTGAAGGGTGGGTGGGGGAACGGGGGTGGGGGCGGGGGCGGGGAGTGTAGTCCCGGAGATGGGAGGGCAAGGATGGTAGGAGAAAAACAAAGGAGGAGGCAGCAATGCTTGATAAGAAATGTACTCATTACTTTGCTCATGTAATTGTAACCCCTCTGTACGGTATTTTCACAATAAAAAAACTTATTAAAAAATAAATTTTAAAAAAAGCCTAAAGACTTCATTTTGATCAGAAAGGTTTACAAACACTTCAAGCAGCATGCCTAAGGGGTGGTAAGCGAGAAAACACAAAATGATGTCCAAGTAATGTTGCATGGCCAACTGAGGTGAAATAACTTGAGTGTGAGGCAGAGTGATAGCAGAATTCCCTTCTCTAACTACTTCTGGGCCAAGTGACAACTGCAAATGGGGCAGATGAGTCAGTCAGAAGTAAAAATAACCCTAAACTGAGATTTTAAAAAAATCGTAAACTGAATCTTCAACGCCAGACCAGACCTGTATGGTCAGCCCAAATTCACTAAACACATTCTATTTTTCAGAAGGCAAACTTCTTTTTAATGTCACCATTCCTGCGATTGCTACGTAATTACAATGGCTAAATGCATTGGAAGCCTAGCTAGTGAACTACATTAGGTGAGTCATTCTTGAGATAAAACACAGACAAATTCAGAGATTGTCCTGCCTTCCAAGTCACCTACTTTAAAGTTCTCTTAATGAGTGAGGAAATGTTACTTCAGAAAATTGACATGACTACCCCAACATGACGTGCCTGGGCCACCAATGTCTGACACTGCCCACTTCATTAATCAGGAGAATGAGATGCTAGCTTCCTTGTGAGAAATCTATGAAAAGTGAACAAAGTCTCTGCCCAGAAAGTAGTACTTGGAACCATTCCAGTGATGAGAGGTTTGGTGTGACCCTTAGAACATTTCCTTGCTATTACTGATCACATTTTTGCTGGAAGTTCTCCTCCCCGGCCTCAAAAGCAGAATCTGTTCCTTTGCATGGATTCACCTGCAATGCTGCTTCCGCTTCCTCTAACGCTGGCTTTGCCGCTTCCAGCTTCTCCTCAGCAATAGCTTTGTCTGTGGAGATACTGTCCACAATGGCCTGGGCCTTATCTTTCACCTTCTGGACCTCGGCCTTCACCTTTTCCGCAGCCTGCGCTTTCATTGTGACTTCTTTTAAGACCTAGTTCAGTATAAAAACAGAAATAAGATCAAATCAAACATTGCCACAGCCCCAGAAGGAAAGCATCCCTGTCCTGCTTCACCCATATTGTCCAGTGACCCAATCGTCTGCACATAAAATCTACTGTCTTTTACTCTAATGGAAAAAAATCTGTGATTCCATGGTTACAATGTAGTGATGTTTGTGAACCAGAAGCTCTAGAGGGATGAGACAGGTGTGGAAAAATAGACGCACCATGTCAGCTTTGTCATTGGCCACTTGCAGCTCCTTTTCTTTAACTTCCAGTTCTTTGCTCAGGGCTGCAACGGAGTCTGACGCTTCTTTCAGTTTTTCCAACCCAGTATTCATTCTAGAGTTAAAAAGCAAGCAGGCAATGTCAACATGTGTGCAATGTGACCATGTTCTCTCATGTATGTAGGAAGAATTGCAGTTGAGTAATGAATATGCATGCAAATAGCAAACCCAAGAGGGCTCTACAGAAAGGATATAAGCCCAGCTTTTAGTCCCAGACCACCAACATCCTCATCCCTTCATAAAGTATGTGTAGGAAGAGCAAGCTCAATAAAAGGTGCTCATGACATGAGAAACAACAGTAGATCTGAATCTATATCGTGTAGACAATGGGCTCAGGACATTGAGACCAAGGACAACCGGCTTCAAATGTTTGCAGCTCTCTCATGGAGGAAGGGGAAAGCATGTAAACTTCTTTGTTTCAAAGCATCCTATAAAGTGAAAAGAAGAAATACTAGGAAGAAGACAAGGATGTCCACTCTCTCCACTGCTCTTCAATCTAGTATTAGAATGCCTAGCTACAGCAATAAGACAAGATGCAAACATAAAGGGGATCCACATAGGGAAAGAAGAAATAAAACTCTCCCTCTTTGCAGATGACATAATCTTGTATTTAAAGAAGCCCACAGACTCCACTCCCAAATTACTCAAGATGATTCAAAACTTTGGCAAAGTAGCAGGGTATAAAATTAACCCTCTAAAGTCAATGGCTTTTCTGTATGCCAACAATGAGGAAAGTGTGGCTGATATTAGGAAAGCAACTCCACTCGTAATAGCCCCACAAAAAATAAAATACCTAGGAATTAACTAAAGAAGTGAAGGACCTCTATGATGAAAACTTTAAAAACTTAAACAAGGAAATCAAAACAGAACTATGAAAGTAGAAAAAACTCCCATGCTCCTGGATTGGAAAGATCAACATCGTGAAAATGGCAATACTTCCCAAAGCTATCTACAAATTCAATGCAATACCTATCAATATTCCATCCTCATTCTTCAAGGAAATAGAAGAGGCAATACAAAAATTCATATGGAACAATAAAAGACCCCGAATAGCTAAAATGATCCTCAACAGAAAGAACACTACTGGAGGAATATCAATACCAAATTTCAAACTCTACTACAAAGCCATAGTAATCAAAACAGCTTGGTACTGGCACAAGAACAGACCTCAGGACCAATGGAATAGAATTGAAAACCCAGAAATGAACCTACAGACCTTTAGCCATCTAATTTTCAATAAGGGAGCTAAAAAAATACAATGGAAGAAAGACAGCCTCTTCAGTAAATGGTACTGGCAAAATTGGTTAACTACATGTAGAAAACTAAAGCTAGATCCTTATATATCACCCTGCACCAGAATCAACTCCAAATGGATCAAAGACCTCAGAGTCAAAGCAGACACCCTGAAAACATTACAGGGTGAAATAGGAGAAACCCTAGGACTCCTTGGCACAGGCCGAAATTTTCTTAATAGAGACCCAGAAACACAACAAATCAAAGAAAGGTTGGACAAATGGGATTGCATGAAATTACAGAGCTTCTGCATGGCAAAGGACATAGCTAGCAAGATTAACAGAAAGCTCACGGTTTGGGAGAAAATCTTCACTAGCCTTACAACAGACAAGGGTCTCATATCTAAAATATACCTGGAACTCAAATAATTAAATCCCCCAACAACAAATCCCCAAAGAAACAACTACCCAATAAATAAGTTGGCTTAAGACTTAAAGAGAAACTTTTCTGAAGAAGAAAGAAGGATGGCCAATAGACACATGAAGAAATGCTCAACCTCCCTAGCCATAAAAGAAATGCAAATCAAAACAACATTGAGATACCACCTTACCCCAGTTAGAATGGCTATAATCAAGAACTCTAATAGCAACAGATGCTGGAGGGGATGTGGACAGAAGGGAACCTTACTGCATTGTTGGTGAGAGGGTAAACTTGTTCAACCACTTTGGAAAGCAGTATGGAGGTTCCTCAAAAGACTCCACATAGAGCTCTCCTATGACCCAGCAATCCCACTTTTGGGCATTTACCCAAATAATTACAAACAAGGCCACACTAAAGCTACCAGTACCACTATGTTTATTGCAGCATTATTTACCATAGCTAAGATATGGAACCAACCCAGATCCCCTCAGTAGATGAATGGATCGAGAAAACGTGGTATATATACACAATGGAATTCTATGCCTCCATCAGAAAGAATGTCATTGCCCCATTTGTTAGGAAATGGATGACTTGGAAAAAAATATATTAAGTGAAGTAAGCCAGGCCCAAAGAAACTTCGGTCCCATGGTTTCCCTTATTTGAAATAACTAGTATATGTCTGAGTCAAGCAGAAAAGGCCAGATAACTTGATGTTAGGGAAATGAACCCTAAGATATGTATTCAAATGTTTTTTTTTCTTTCAGGTGATTGTTCCTAACACATTTATAAGATTATTTCTTTGTTGCTTTGTATGTCTCTCCCCCATGGTATAACCCCTGCTTTCACTGTATTTGAGGTTGGTATAATGTGTGGAGAGGAAGGGAAAAAACAAATCATTTAAACAGGGATACAGGTGGATCCATTGCAACAATGAGATGTACAAGTCGTTATGTGGAAAACCGAATTTTACAACTTTGGTAAGGGGGGAGGAGGACTGGGTCGGGGGGGGGGGAGGGGGCGGGCAGGGGGAGGCTGAGAAGGGATGGGAAGGGGAAACAAAGGAGGAGGCTACAATTCTGGTAAGAAATGTACTCATTATCTTGCCCATGTAATTGTAACTCCTCTGTACAGTAGTTTCACAATAAAAAAAAAGAAAAAAAAAGATGTGTATTCATTATCTTGCCCATGTAATTCTAACCCCTCTGTACTTTTATTTTCACAATAAAAGAAAAGAAAAGAAAAAGAAATACTAGGAAGAAAGAAACAAATTAAATATCATAACAGCTCCCGGGGGGAACGAGGTCCCTGTGTGAGGCTGACATGGTGAGTTTAAGGGCTGGAAGGTTTCAGATTCGGTTAGTCCAAACACCCACTCAGGTATCCTTGACAAGACAACCCTAGCTGATTCTGGATACATTCAGGCAGAAATGTTGAATGTTGAAGAAAACTAACAGAGTGGACAGTAAACTGTGGGACTCACTTTGAGGAAGCAAAACATTGATTCTGCAAGGAACAAGCAGCCACCCAGGCTGCGTCTAACCTGTCACTCAGAGGGGAGCAGGAGAGGAGGAAGGAGGGAATATTTGAGCTCTTCATTCCTTTCCTTAAGTATTCTGAGGGTTATATCATTTGATATCATCAAGGTATCAGGGCATATGAGACTAGGCAGCAGTTTATTCTATGGGGCAACAATAAATCCCCTAAGTACCACAGAACACTCCTTCAAACAGGCTCAGAAAGATTTTATCTCTGTCTGTCTGTCTGTCTGTCTGTCTCTGTCTGTCTCTCTGTCTCTGTCTCTTTCTCTGTCTCTGTCTCTGTCTCTCTCTGTCTCTCTCTCTCTCTCTCTCTCTCTCTCTCTCTCTGTCACTCTCCTTTTTTCGCAGTAATGGAGTTTGAACTCAGAACTCCACAATCGCTCAGCAGGAAATCTCCCACTTGAGCCACATCTTCAGCACTTACTTTTGCCATAGTTATTATTTACCTACCTAGAGTCTCTCATTTTTTCCCAGAACTAGCCTCAGACTTCAGTCCTCCTACCTATACCTCCCATACAACGAGGATTACAGGTGTGTACACCACTGTGTGTATGGATTCTCGGTTGAGATGAGGATGTCACTAAATGTCAAATCATGGTCTTCCTGACCTTCACCCTCTGAGCAGCAGGGTCGTACAATCCACAGGCATAGCTTAGAAGGGGATTTCTTACAGTGAGTACTATTGAAATTGGGGCTGGGCAATTCTTTCCTGGTGGGGGGGGGGGGGGAATCTTTCCCGCACAGTGAGGTTTTAACAACCTTCCTGGGCACATTTAGATGCCAATCATATTCCCCAAACACTACACCAGTTATGACCAACAACCATGTCTCTAGTCATGGCAAAATGTCCATGATGGGCAGTTCAGGCTGACTGCTTTAAAGTAACTCTGACTTGAACTTCACACTTACCTATCTGCCAGGGTTTGCACTTCCACGTGCTTTTCTGCATAGATGAACTTATAGCCCTGAATAAAGGAGAGGTATGATTTGGGCGTCACGTGGGTAGAACGTCGGAATCTCTGGAAATAATCGACACACTTCTCAGCCACGCCATCCTGAAAGGAGCCCATACACTGCACAACCTCCTTCTTAGTTTCCAAGCTGCAGTCAATCTCATAGGAAGAGAGGAAGTGTTCGGACACTAGGAAGAATAAAGACAACAGAACCTGAAACTGGGGCAAGAATCGCCATTTTCAAGGTCACCTGGATATTTGTTAAAGACTTCAACATTCCTGGAACTGAATTCTGTGCTTGTAGATCTAGTTAGGTAGATCTAGATCAGCACGTTTGACCCCAGACCTGAAACAGCAACAATTTGATTTTTTCCTTCACATATAAAACTATGGCAGATTTTAAGCCTCTCGCCATTACTGCAGAGTAATCTCCTCCACACAGCTGCAGCTTCTGGGCGGAAGCCAGGCTGTGATACGATTTACATAAGGACAAATGTGATATAAGTAAATTGGACCTCAGTGTGCACCTGGCACTCTTATTAAACAATCCCATTTGTTTTTTGGTTTATTTTTTTTTACTCAGACCCTGCAGTCCCTTACTGCAGTCCCTAATCTGCAACTGCATTTGGCATGTGCAAATGTGCATCCATACATTGCTGTATTACTAAATATTTTAATGCCCATGTCATCCTTGTTCTTAAGCGCAGCAGTGGCCTGTGATCAGTTCTAATTTCAGAATCCTTTAGATATATTTGGGTAAAACTCTTCTGTTAGAGGCATTTACCTTTCCCACAATGCCTAAGAGTGGAGCAGTTCTGAGGGTGCACTTCCTGTTATAAGACTCCAGTGGAGCCACTCTTTGGAACAATTAACCTACAGTTGAACACAGTGAAGGCCAGGAAGCTGAAACGTGTTTGCTCTGAGGGGGTGGAACTTATGGGGAGGTACTACAGAAAAATGGAGAAGGGCGTGGTGGGTGAATACAGTGAGAGTATTCAATGTACACAGGTGAAAAGTGGAGCCATGTAAGAGGAGGGGATGGCGGGGTTGGGAGAGAAGGAAAGGAGATGATGGAAGAAGGGGTGGCATCCACCAACATGAATTGTGCACATCTGCAGACATGGCAAATTGAAATCCCTTAGAGAAGAAAGAGAAAGCCATAACGTAAGAACCCATCAATGGCTCTATATCCGTATGTATTCACATGTTATGCCCACTACATATCCATCCCGGGATAAGTGCCACAGCACGAAAGCGAAATACGAAACTTGATCTCAACCCCATGGAGTGTACACTCTAGTTAAAATTGTCATGGCCAAAAAATTCTTTTTAAATTATTGTAACCATTTTTATGTATCTCAGCAGAATTCATGTTTGAAGGTGTGTGTGTGTGTGTGTGTGTGTGTGTGTGTGTGTGTGTGTGTGTGTGTGTGTGTGTGTGTGTTATAAATAGGGAGCAATATAAGGACCTGGAAAGATTTAAGCACAAAACAATGTGATTGGGTTTGTATCTTTACCATTATTCTGTTAGCAATGTAAAAGACTGAAAGGCAGGTGACAAAAGGGAGAGAGCTCATTACAAAGCTATTTGGGTTTTCTCATGGTACAACAATGATGGCTTGGCATAGGACTTCAGTAAAAAGAAAGAGATTCTGCCAATATTTAGGATATGTAATTGCCATGACTTCAAAGCAGATTAGATTTTAGAGTTGAAGGAAGAATAAATGTTTAAAGGAAAGAAAAGGGTTGTCTAGTTTGATGGACACTGGTGGCACCCTAGAGACAGTACCAGTTTAGTTCCAGATACTTTAAGTTTAAGGACTCTGTGAGAGATTCCTGAAGAAGAATCATATAGGCAAGTGAATACATAGATTCTGAGCCAGCCAACAGACCAAATTGAAAATAAGAATTAATGGGGTGTACCAGTCAAGAGTTGTAGATGCCCTCTCCTTGGGAAAGAATCTAGAGATGAGAAACACATCTCCTTGCCCTTCAGTATGGTGACTCAATAAATGCCAAGTGCAAGAAATATGTTTTCAATAAATGAAAAATAGATTCATGCATGAAGATCAAGCCACTCCCTAGTTACTGTTAGTACAGAAGAGAAATTGTCCGTGGCTCTGTGAAAGCTCGGACTGGGTCAGTGAAATGAGATTTAAAAGAAAAGGTCAGGGCTATGAGAAATTAACAAAAAGAATGAGCGATAATTTAGAAAGGATGAGTGAAATAGATATTAAATACAAAGAGCTCTGTTTCAAAGTGAATCATCTTAATCAAGGTATATTACAGTATTTATCACCTGGTATTGCTAATTTTACTATTAATTAGACCTTCCATTGCATTTCACAAAATACCTACACACGGATTATCCTACTTTCTAGTAAACCTTAATAACACAGCTCTGAAATACTATTGTTGCTGCTCTATATGCATTTCCCACCTCAAGAAATGTTTAACTCATACTGCTAGTTTCATTTAAATTTTAAGGGGTCTTAAAAAATTTAAATCATGGGTCTGTTTGCAAGCTTCTAAGACAAGGAAAAAACTGTGCTGTGCGTTTGCACTGGAGACATGTTAAAACCTTCTGGGTTTAAGAGTCACATATTGGGAAAACATTATTGTCAACAGCACTGTGCCAACAACATTTGTTCTTCCCCAAAAGTAAGTTTATTAAACAAAAACAAAAACAGTAAAGTGCTAGATACCAATCATTTACACATATATGTACATATGTTAATAGCTAATAGATATCTAGACAGACAATAAACTGATAGGTAGATAAATAAATGAATAGATAGGTAGGTAGATAAAGATAAACTGACCTAGATCCTAACTATAGTATTGATCCTACCCCAGTACTGATTTCTTTCCACTTCTGACATATCCATCTCCAGTTTCTCTATCCCTAAAGGCAGTAGATATGTATACCATCATCATCTTAACACAGGGTACCACAGAACTTGAGCGGACAAGGTTGAGATGGCCAGAGTGGTGGAAATGAGAAGATGAGGGTCCATAGCTCCTCCTCTCCTCCCTCCTACCTTTCCTGCTTTATCTAGTAGGAATACCTATCAAGCCTTACTGGAAAATAAGTCTCTTCAGCTTAAAAATACATAACCATTAACAAAAGGTATGAAAACTACCAGATCAGGCTCCGCAGTGGTTCTGAAACTGTCGTTCAGGGTTGAAATTTGACTGCCTGCAGCCTTTATAATAGCCACAGATGGTCCCACCAAAATTTGAAAATTAAAAATACCCCAACAAGCTCTGATAGCTCCAGTACTACTTAAATGCTCCAACTTCATCACAAGTTAACAAAACACGAAGCTTTCGTGGGATGGGCAATTCAACAGAAGAGACAGCAAGACTCGCATCAGAGAAGCCCTTCTGCCAAGGACAAAAGCCATCAGAGGAGTTCTGAATAAGGTTCTTCTTGATTTACAGTACCACAGCAACTAGACAAGAGTGCTCGAGGAACACCTGGTTTTAACCGTGCTGGGGTTGGCAAGCACACTTAAAAAGAACTGTGAGCTTCACCTCAGTGCCTTCCCGTGGCACCCAGAAACTGCTGGGGATGCAACTGAGCCAAAGCGTGCAAATATCATTGAAATACTCAAACCCTCAACATTAACTCAGGGGGTACAAAGTGAAGATCTCACTCTCTGACAATCACACTCTGGGAAAAATTAGCTGCCAAGTTAAAAAGAGCAACATCTTGTAGGAAAAAAAATAATAAATTCTTTGAACAGCAGATGAAGAGAGCTGGCTCTTCTCCATGCGGAGACAGAATGTGAATGAATAAATCAACACAGTGAACCAGATATTTCCATCACACTAACCAGCAACTAAGGCATCCTTCGGCCACTGGCTGAACCAGTCGATCGTACATCCTGAAATAAGGGCAGGGAACTTCAAAGCTCGGTTTCTAAATTTCTCCCCCACTGGTGAAAAGCAGAGCACAATATGTAGATTCTGTCGCACGCGACTCATGAAATACTCATACAAATTTTCATTGGTGGGAGGGCGTCTAGGATATTCTTTTTTCATGACTGATGTCAGATCACTGTTAATTTCATCAATTTCATCACGGGCAAAGAGGTTGGAGACCTTCAAAAGAAATAGAGGAATTCACACATACGAAACAAATTAAAACCTACCACTTAATAGGTACAATGCCCTTTCTCTATTTGTGTACTTATATAAATAATAAAGTTTTCAGGATGCAATGTACCACATTTAAAAATACATAGATAGTCCTATCATTTATCACAGTCACGACCCTTGAGGAGGGCAAAATGGTATCCTATCTCATTAGCTTTCTTTCTAACCTCTCTTTTTTTTCCATTTGTCATCTTGAGCAATAATTCTTTGAGGGTTTTAAATGCTTAGCTCTAGATTTTCCAGTGAATTTTTATTCTTCAAAACTCCCCTACCAAAAGGCATTGTTTACTTAATCAAAAAGAACAATAACAGATGGAGAGAGAGAGGCTGGGTGAATCGAGTCCTAATACTCAATATATACTGGTCCTATACTCAATATACCTGGTCCCTGGAGGTGATGGGTGGGCCACATAAGAAAGGAGAAGAATGATGGAAGGGGTGATACTGGTCCAGATGCAGTATACTCATGCATTGACTTGTTGACCTGAAACCCATCTGTGCAACTACATGAACAATGATAATAAATAAATTATGAAAGCATAAAAACCAACACATGAACAAGTGGGCTCCTACCTCACCCGATGACAGGACATTATTCATATATTCCAAAAACGACTCATCTTTAATCTCATTGTCTGTGAAAATGAAGGTGATTCCTCTTCCTTGCTGACCAGCTGTCCGGTACAAAACCTTCAGGTCTTCCATCAGATTGGGTGTGTTGTAGGACCTAGAGGATCACTGTCATTATGGCATCAGATAGAATATCTTGGGAAGCAAACATACCAATGTTTTATGCTTTATTGGGCAAGTTCAAGGCGGGGTGGGGGGGAGGAGGAGGAAGTAGACCATGGAAGGGAGGAAAGGAGAAAATGCAGTCATAAAATTCAAGGTATATTCAATGCATATAAAAATCAACAAAATTGAGGGTTGGAGGGAGGGAAAGTAGGAGAAAATTGAGTTACTTATGTAACTGAAACCCCTCTGTACATTACCTTGACAATTAAAAAGAATCGACAAAATTGAGGGAAGGTTGGGAAGGGAGGGATGAGGGAGCATCATGAAAGTGATGTTCAAGACGCACTGTATTCATAGCCTGCTTGGTTGAATAGAAACTCTTTTGTACAACTCCTTATTGACAATTTTTTTTAAGTCAGCCTGAACAAAATATAATTTCTTATCATAAGCAAACATCATATGAATGTAAAAGCCATTTCTCATTTTGAAAATGTGCTGACAATGATATTTGTTAGAAATGATCATTAGAAGATTTATGAAGCACTCATCTGTAACTGGTATTATTGAAAGCATCTCTGAGAAATGAAACAAAAGTAAACTCAAGCTTTCATTCTATGAAGAGAAGAGATGCCCTGTTATAAATGATCCCTAACATTATTCTTGTACACGGAACTCTGAATTCCACATAAAAGTTTTCTGAGACATCAGTATACTGTAGCAGAATACAGCTGTAGCTGGAAACATGAAATAAATCCCACCACAAATCTGCTTTCACTTTGTATGTCCCTCCCCCAAAGTATAACCCATACTTTCACTGTATTTGATGTTGGTATAATTTGTGGAGGGGAAGGGAAAAAAACAAAAATCATTTAACTAGGGATACAGGTGGACCCATTGCAACAATGAGATGTACAAGTCGTTATGTCGAAAAACAAACTTAACAACTTTGGTGGAGGATAGGGGGAGGTATGGGGGGAGTGGAGGAGGCTGGGAAGGGATGGGAAGGAGAAACAGCGAGGAGGCAATGATGCTTGATAAGAAATGTACTTGTTATCTTGTCCATGTAATTGTAACTCCTCTGTACGATATTCTTACAATAAAAAAGTAAAAAAAAAATCTGCTTTTACTCCTCAAAGTGATCTCTAGATGGAAGTTAACCTATAATCAAGAAATGTTAGAGAAGTATCAAAACAGTAGTCTATAACTACCAGAAGTATAAATGAAAATATTTCAGTTCTAGAGACTCACATTTATTAAATTGTCATTTCTCTTTTGTGTCATTAAAAACTTAGAAAAAAAAAAAAAGAAAGAAACTTTCTTAAAAATTCAAGCCCCACAACTGACAAAAAAAAAAACCCTGAAAATCCAGAACACAGAGACAAAGAGCTGTCTGATTTTCTAAAGCTACTAAAGGTACTATATTGTTCTATATCCTGTCTTTTATTTAAATCTATAAACTAAACTCTGTTTACAAATACCACAATTATGCATCGATGTTTCTAGAAGACTCCTATTTTTCGAGAAAAATAGAAGATAGATCTAGATCCAATGACTAGAACACAGACACAATTTACTCCTTTTGGGGGGCAGGCAGTACAGGGGGGAAGCTATCCCTGAGCCTTTGTGTTCACGGCTACCGTTCCATTCCTGGCATTTGGATCTTGATGCTTTTAATTGCAGATAAGAGTCTCAGGGACTTTCCTGCACAGGCTGACTTCAAAACTTGACCCTCAGATCTCACTCTCCTGAGTATCTAAGATTACAGACATGAGCCACCAGCACCTAGCCACAAAAGCACTTAAAAAATATAGCTCAACTCTGAAGCAAAAACACAAAGAAAAAATACTTTGTTCGGCTCCCACTGACAGGAAGAACATTTTTAGCCAGTTCCCCCTGTCTTAAGGGGCAACAGCCTCAAACAATGACCAGAATGATTCCAAGTGTGAGGTGCCTGCATTCCAGCCTGGGTCCCACAGCGGTGCAGAGACTAAAGGAGGCTGGCAGTCTCTTGAAGGTTGTGTGAAGGCCTTGCTTCTCCTTTCATTGGGAATGGATTATTCCCAGTATGGCAGGCAGGAAAACCAGATCATCACTGCAGGAGCTGCTGTGGGGTGTGTTTCCTGAGGCATTACAATGCACTAGAAGCGGCACTAGACTAGACACTAGTTTTACTGGCAAAATCTTGCAACCAGGTTTTGGCTCTGTCTCAGACATCAGGCTGAAGTTCAGCTGCATAGTGGACTATCCCTCCTGATCTCAAACCCCCCTCACCCCCCAAATTCTTCAGAACACCAAATTAGCTCATTCATGTAAAAGTGCTTTGGAAACAATTAAGCTCTTATACCAAATAAGGGAACAAAATCTGAGTCCAATTCTTATTTTGCGCAGGTTCAATCCACAAACTGCAAATGGTATTTCTGTGTGTCCTGGTACTTGAATAAAGCAGAAATCTTTCAGTTAATTCTCCCTCAAGAGCCAGGCACTGGTGGCTCATGCCTGTAATCTGAACTACTCAGGAGGCTGTGATCTGAGGATTATGAAACTCTTATCTCCAATGAACCACCAGAAAACTAGAAGTGGCACTGTGGATCACAGTGGTAGATTAATTTCTCAGCGACAGAGCCCAGGCCCTGAACTCAAGCTCTACTGACAAAAAAGGGTGGAGGGGGTGGGCCTAGTGGGAGGCAGTTAAGGCATTGGGAGAGGGGGTGTTTCCTGGAAGCTGATATTGGGACCCTGGCATTCAATCTGTCTTTTTTCTCTTACCAGTTGCCACAAGGTGAGCATCTTTGCTCATGACCCATCCCTCACTCTGACATTCAGCCTCGCCACAGGTCCAGAACTATGGAGCTATCCAGACACAGGCTGAAGCCTTTGAAACTGGGAGGTAAACTAAAGCTTTCCTCTTTTTATATTCATTATCTCAGATATAAAAAGCTGACTATCATAGCCTGTTCCCCTAGGCAGCACTGGGAACAGAGTCTGCATACAATAAATATTTTGAAGTGTCTGGATGAGTAAATCAATGCAAAAATGTTTCCCCTATTTTTCTCCTGTATTAGCTTTGAAATCTGCATTATCACTCAGAAGAGCAAATATCTTCTAAAATGCAACAAAAAAAAAGAGTGCATGTGAAGTTCCTGTTGCATATAGCAGAACAACAACCAGGGAGAAATGTCTCAAAAGCAGGTTATTCATGTGAACTATTCACACTCTGTGGAGAAGGTTGAAAGGAGAAACTACATCAACGTTCCAGAAGGAAGAAACCACTGGCTCTTAATGATGATAAGAAAAATACATGCTTAACTTCAGGTGACCTCTGGGAACCATCTTTCAAAATCCATTTTAGGTGAAAGTATAAGCTTGCTTGCTTTTTTTTTTTTTGGGTCCGGTTGTGGGGCCTGAACTCTGGGCCTGGGCGCTGTCCCTCAGCTCTTCAGCTCAAGGCTAGTGCTCTACCACTTGAGCCACAGCACCACTTCCAGCTTTTTTCTTTTTTTGCTTATGTGTTGTGGAGGAATTGAACCCAGGGCCTCAGGCATGCAAGGCAAGCACTCTACCACTGAGCCACCTACCTTGTCAGAGTGACCTGGAAAGAAGTGTAGCCAGCGATGAAGGAAGCCAACCTGGTCAGGCTCTGCTTCCCTGACCCGCCCACCCCAACCAGGAGGGCGTTTCCCCTGGGCATCCGGATCACTCGAGAAATCTATAGCAGGGAAACAGAAAGAGTAGTCAGCTTTCCACCTGTAAATACCCCATCTTCCCTCTGTATTCAATGTAAGAGTGAGGCCCTGTGGAAACCACGGGCGTCTCAAAATCAGATTTCAGCCATCCGCTGGTGGAAGGAATGGGGAAATTTCTGAAATACAGCACAGTGCGCAGGCACAAGTCAGGGTGGGAACTGTGGGGCATATTAAGGAGCCCAGGAACAGCAAATGAGAAAGGTCAGCACACAGTCCATGATGTGACTGGCTCTGTTTCTGAGAAGATAAAGAAAAAGGACTTTGAGGTATGCTTTAAGTTTTGCATTGAAATGCCCTTTTCATTCAAAAACAGACTCTTCTTCTTCATGAATTCACCATTAGCATTACTCATTTCGAGTTTTTAACCTTCCTTTTAATTATCAAATATGGCTGAAAATCTACTCTTCATGAACACTGAACTTCTAACTGACTACAAAACTGCTATTTGTTGTTTGGCTTGGAAAGACTTTGTGATTCAGTATAAATCAATGTCTCAGTTGTCAGGCTAAGCACCTTTGTAATAAGAGGTCCAACCCCAAAGCATCCCCTCTATCTTCCTCTTTCTACCAGACTCAATGCAGCCTTACATACATATTTTCCTTGCCCTCTTCCCTAGAACGAACAAAAGCAGGTAGGCAACCTCCATTTTCACATGGAAGCTCTCAAACCCTTCCAGTTCTAAGATCCAATAAGAGGATCTAAGATTTCCAGAGGAAACATTTTTATGAGATGATTCTTCATGTAAAGGAAGTTAACCTCAAACTGCCTCCTTTCTAACTGAAAGGATATAATCTGAAAAAAGCAACCGTGGTCAACAAAGGAAGAATATCAACAGTGGACTTCGCATGACATATCTAATCGCATATCTAAGTCACATTAGTTATTAAGTAAACGAATATATTTCACTTCCAACATTGATGGCCAATTTATCCTAAAAAGTAGATACTGTAATGAAACTAGGAGAGAACTTTCCCAGTAGACATCATTTCAATCAAATTTTCATCTGCTCAAAGTGTTTCTGCCCTGGTTTTAAATGATCATTTTCAATTATTGTAAAATACCCATAACCAAATTTATTATCATAAATACTATGAAGTGTATAGTTTAATACTATTAGATAGTGGGTTTTTTTTTTCATCTTGGAGAACTGAGACTACAAATTCACCCATTCACCACCAATTCCTAGTTAGTTCCCTCCTCCACCCCGCCCCTAGACATCTACACTCGGCTTGATGAGTTGGTCGTTTTGAATCCTCTATGTACCCAGCGTGAACTGGATCCTACAGCATTTGCCTGGCCGGCTTCTTTCACTTAGCTCAATGTCTTCAAGGCTATGCACTCCTTTTATAGTGATATTGATTACATGACTTTTTCAAACATGGCAGCCTTCTCCTAGGTTTTGAACTCGAATATCAACCACATTTATCCCATGCAGTAAAATCACGGAGCTGGAAATAATATAGAATGCTGAATGAAATTAGCACATCACACACTGGAAGTGCGCATGCTCTTATTTTAAACTTATAAGGTGTGACCTGATACATTCGGTGTGGAAATAAAACTGGAATATAGCCTTGCATTTGCTTTAAAATTCATGTGCTTCCAGGAGATGAAAAGAAAGTAGGAGGGGTATGTGGTATGATAGCAAGCATCAATCACACTTGGACATGTTTCTGGGCAAAGCCACTGTACCTTCACTAAGTGGATCATGGCGTCGGCGAAGAACACCATATCCATGCCAGCGCCACGGACACTCTCATTGTACAGTTGCAGGAACATGTTCAGACGCTCTCTCAGGTGATCAAAGGATTCAATTGGTTCGTAAATTTTGGGCATTTCAGCATCTGTCTCCTCGGGTGTTTCTCCTTTGGTAAGGAAGAAGAATCTATTTAGCTTCTTCACATTCCTGGACTTCACCACTAACTTCAACACTTGTGTCTCTGTAATTCAATGTTGCATAACATCAATTTCCAATACAATGTTATATTATGTACGTTTAGGGGGAAAAAAGAAGGAAGTGGTAAAAAGCATTAGGATTTTTGTGATTCTATGTAAGCCTAGTTCTTTCTGGTCTAGAAGAAGCCAATTTCACGTGATACTGTGTTCACTGAATTTAGTCACAACCCACAATTGACCAAAGTTTCTCCCAGAGATATGAGTTTAATGGTTGAAATGAAAGTCAAAAGTACAGGCAGAGTTAATGTCAAAATCACAAGGAAGGTCAAGCATCACATGACTTTTAAATAAAATTATAAAGGAAAAGGTCATTATACTTTCCCAGAATAGTATTATGATTGAGAAATTCTAAGTTAATTGTGAAAACAGAAGTAAATTTTAGGAAATGAAAGGGAAAGGTTAAGAAAAAATAGTTTCTTAAATAAACATTGCATTATGTCACTGGAAAAGTGAATTGAAATCAAAAGACTGTTTAAAAGTCTAAAGCTCATGATACACAGACTTAATACTTTTTCAACATGAACTATAAAGATTAATGCCAATAGTGCTATATAAATTCACTGTCAGTTGTACTTACAATTTGAAAAAGTGATACTGCAATTTAATATACCAAAAAATAACTTAAAAATTCACTGGGTAACAGAAGAGTAAGTAGATTTTCCAAATCTTACAGTACGTAGTTATCTTAAGTGACCTAGTCAATATAATCAACCTCTTTATGACAAAACAGGGATTCTGGCTTATTTGCAAAGCTCTCCCTCATCAAGCTTCAATACTCACAACGTGTTCATCCATACTCAATTCAAGCTTGGAAAAGCAAAATGGTTTAAAGTCACAGAAGATTATAAGTTCCACTCTGAAATCTGTCCTGTCCCCTAAGGTTAGGCTTTATTCCTTGAAAATCACAACCTATTAATTCTCCTTCTAAATTAGAGAAAATAAAATACAAGGAAGTATAATAGATAAATGCAACAGATAAATTCTAATTATTTTGTGTCCTTATGAGATTTTGTTATGTATTTGACTTAATATAAAATACATTTATTCACTTCTTTCTGATTACACAGCCAACAAAACATCACTTTGCAACTGTCAGTCCAAAATGTTTTATTTGTGTTTGTTTGTTTTGTGAGACAAGGTCCTATTCTGTAGTCCAATATGGCTTCAAACTTGATCCTCCTGCCTCAGCGTCCTGAATGCTAGGAGTACATGTGTGTCCCACCAAGCCTGGCACTCAGATAATTTTCACAAGTCATACATATTGTTACCCAAATTAATCAGAGACTGCCTGACCACTTGCAACCATTTTGAAGATGTAAATAGTAGGCACTTTAATATGCCTTTTAAATTATGAAAATTAACTTTAAGATTCAGTTACAGCTTTGGAAGAAGCTATTAAATGAAAGAATAATAATTCTCCAGGCCCAGTTATTTCTGAGGGTAAGTAATCAGAGCACTACCTCTTTTGATTAGAAAAGTCATAAATCACAATTTTTCATGGAACCATAAGCACAGAAGTTTGCCTTCATGTTATCTGGCTCTTTGTAATTATATTGTGTGGCTTCTTATAATTTGAAGGATTTTCTTTTTATTTTCAACATTCAGATGACCCTAATAACGATTCTTATTTTGGTATCTTTTAGTTGCTTGTAACTGTAGTAGTCCACAGATAGCCATGGGACTCCACAGATAATATTTTTATATATTTTATATATTTCTATATATTTTTATATATTTATTCCCCCACAGGACCCATAATGCACATATTCACCTTTCTATTTATATACATGAGAATGTATAATGTTCAGTGGTATCTAGCTAGTATGTACTGATTCCTTCCTCAAACATACCTCTGATAGTTTATACATCCTTAGGTACTTTCTTCTACTCTATCCTGCCTCCCTACTTTATTTAGAATAATAAGCACATTATTCATCTTTGAACTCCATGATCACTCATTTATCTACCCACGCTACATTTATTGGTGACCTATTTTGTCTCAGGCTTGTTTCAGTAGTTGGTTAGGCATAAACTCAACTTCAGGAAACTTCTGTCTTCCCCTTAGGAATCTCCTGTAGGAACACTGTTTAGAGAATTTCAAACTCTGCTTCAATAGTTTACCTGTAGCTTCAGGTGCGTCCCTCAAGAAATCCACAAAGTAAGAATCAATTCCACAATCCACCACAAGTTTTTTCTCTTCACCAAACTCCTCCTCTACCAAGTTAGCCAAAGCCTTATCAAACCAGGCCACATCAGCAGACACTGTGAAACGGTCAACGATCACACGCTTGCATTCATGTTTCCAAAGCTGTAACAGTTCCTGTTGATAATGTGATAAAATAAGTATTTGGGAATGATAGGAAAGTTAACCTGAGATTTTATAGAGAATCTATACTAAAAATGTAATACTTTTAAAAGTTAAGATTAATATTGATCAAGATGCATGGCACTTGTAAATTGAACTTATCTGTACAATTAATTACTTAAATATAAATATGATTTCTATATATAATATATATGACCATATATAATTTCTATATATAAATATAATTTTTACTTCAAATTAGTCTCATTCAATTATACTAATGGGAAAGTAGAATTTATTCTTTTGCAGTTCTCTAAATTTAAGCAAAATGCTTACACAAAACAATAAGTCACTCCAACCAGCAAACTCATATCCTCAGAAAGGTTTAGAGATTATGCTAAATGAGTCTTTTTTTTTTTCTGGTCCAGTCGTGGGGCCTGAACTCTGGGCCTGGGCGCTGTCCCTCAGCTCTTCAGCTCAAGGCTAGCGCTCTACCACTTGAGCCACAGCGCCACTTCTGGCTTTTTTCTTTTTGCTTATGTGGTGCTGAGGAATCGAACCCAGGGCCTCAGGCATGCAAGGCAAGCGCTCTACCACTGAGCCACCTTCCCAGCCCTAAATGAGTCTTTTTTGATACATACTTTTATGGTGGACAAAACACAATTATCTGAACAGAGAAATCACCCTGTCTGGGTGAAACACGGCCCAAAGTTCACTGTATGTTGAGAAAATTGTGTTATACCTTTGGCACAATAGAAAAAAAAAAAGCTTGTCTTCTTCATTATTTGTTCCCAAAGACTAGTGGAAATTCTTTACCTTGATTAATGATTGTAGCTTAGATACTATATAACTAATGATTAAATGCTGTTGGGAGGCTAGGGTAGCAAAGTACAGTGGAATATGCTCAACAGTTCCATTAAGACAGAAGTTTATTATGATTCAATTGCTGGGATTGTTTATGCTGATTTGAAATACACATCAAAAAGGAGAAATTGGCTATCCAGATACTGGATAATATTTAAGAATCACATTCTACAATTCTGTGAATTCATTAATAGTATTGAAGAAAACCTCAACTTAAAAATATCCACTGATACTAAGCTGTCTCTCAATTCTCTGTTATAGAACTGTGAGTTTTCCTCATTAACGTCTACTCTTCAAAAGTTAGCAAGTTATCTATTTATGAACATCTGGAGCAGAGCTGAAGAGTTTTTCAAAGGTCAACATTTGATGTGCTTGATGACATTTTATTGTTTAATGACCTTTTGTTAATAATTCAATGCTCTAAATGATGGGAGAAGTCCCCCATACCCCTCTGGTCACCTACCACCTCAGCTCAAGAGAGGCTGGAAAAGAGGCCAAATTGGCTTTAGCCAACCACCATGCTTTGCAGGGGGACAAAGGCAGATTGGATTTTCAGCACAGCACTCTTACGTCTAGTGGAATTCTTATAACACTGAGAGCACCCTGTTCAGTACACAGACAAATGCTTATTATTTTATTAAATGAATTTTCAACTCTGCTGCTTCTTTTATATTTTTAACAGCATGGAAAATTATTTGAGTGTATCTAGTTATACGAACCAGATCATGGATGGTTAACAAGAAATGGTTTCTTTCATTCTGACTGTTTATTTACAGACATAATTACATGTTTAGTTTAAAAAGTCAAACTTAAAATATGAAGACTAATAATATCACAGTATACAAAAATATAATGAAAATGAATTGGTTTTTTTTTATTTTAGAATTATAAATAATTGTGTATATTATTTCCTTAAATATATGTCTAGAATAATTGGAACTTATGTTTTCATACATATTTACTTTTCCCCTCATTCATGATAGCTGATGACCAATGAAGAAACGTATATGCATGCTGAAGAGCCCTAAAATGCTTTTTGCAATTCACATAAAAGTCAAAACTAGTAAAAAAAAAAAAAAATCTAGGTGGTAGGATAAATGGCACTGTTACTTCATTTTTCTCTATGAAATATCGCTTACATCTGGTTCTTTGATGACCTCTGAAGTGGTGTTCAGCATTCCCTGCCAGATCCTGGAAAGATCTCGAAGGTTGAACACATAGTGGAACTTGGCAGGTGTGGGGAGCATCTTAACCTTGGTCTTCTGCCACAGGCAACGGGTCAGCGGTACCAATTTCATGACAGCATCTCTCACTTCCTCTGAGAAACCCCGCTGGGTACAGTAATGGCCAACTCCAATCACTCCTGCAAAGGGAGTAGATCATAACATTTTGACTCATCAATCAAAGAAATTCAGTTAAGCTGAAAAGCACTACAATGCAGAATTTGAACAAATGCAATTATACATTATAACAGCCACATAAGAAAGAAAATTGAATTAATTTAAGTAATCAGTGAATTAAATTTATTTAAGTTAGCATTCATATTACTAAACATTGAATAGATGCTACTGAAAGAGTGAATTTATGATCCGCTGATAGAGCTCTTGCCTAGCATGCACAAGGCCCAGGATTCTAACCCCAGCACTATAAGGAAGACGTAGAGAGAAGGAAGGAGAGAGAGAGGATAAGACAAAGGGAGCCACTATTACTAAAAACTCTACCTACATTCAATATAATTAAATGAGCAGCGATGATACATTTATAAAGCTGATTTACAAAAATATGAAAACATATTTATAAAAAGACTTTGCCATTCTGCTGTTTCTTTTCTGTGCATTATTAAAAATCTGCATATAGTTATGTACAAAAATTCCCGACTTAAAGACTAATTAAAAACCACCATAGTCATTCTTTTGTACCCTCTTTACATTTCTTGAATTTAGATAGTTCAATTGTCATTTGGTTTCCAAATCTTGCCACTGCTGTGACTGGAGGCAGATTACTGCCACGCTCTCCTAGCCTGAGGGGACTAAGATGACATTTGCATCTGCCAGAAATTAATTAGAGTAGCCTTCATGAGTTTTTTCTCAATAGCAGTTTCAGAGAGTATAAGTTGATATCTCATAGGGAGTTGTTCACAAATTTCTATTTTTTCCACGAAGAAAATCATTCCAAAATCAATCATAAAGACATTTTCTTTATTGAGTTAAATATATATGGTTGTATATTAGGCTGATGGTCCTTAAAGTAAATTATCTTTGAAGCAAAACATATTTAATTGGCCAATAGCCAATTTAAATTCTGTCAATTCTGATAACCAGATGGGGGCAGTTACCTGCTCTGTGAACCACCATCCCTTTGGACAAAACTCTTATATGAGTTGCCTAAAAAAGCAGCAACATCTAGCTTTCACATAAAAGAACTGTATCTAGACATGCCATGAGGAAACCATCTCATCCCCAAATTCATTTCAACCTTAGTCTTCTTCCTGACATAAACTGTTGATAGTCACTTAAGTTAAATCAAGATACGTTGTATTCACAAACTGCTGTGTTAAATGGCCACTCCTTGGTACAACTCCTCCCTCTGAGAGGAGATTTTCTCCTGGGAACATGACCAGGTATTCTTCCATTCCCCGTGCCCCATCCATTTTACCAAAGATCTTGTCCATGGAGGCGTCCGAAGGCAAAGTGCAGTTAAATATGGAGAAGTGCCTCTTGAGTCTTTGGGGTATGTCATTGCGTCCACCCCCAGGATGGATCATGGCAGCCACGAACTGGATGTCCACCATGCTGGTAAACTCCCCAGGCTTCTCTAGGTTATAGAATCCATTTTGTTCCATCAGCTGTCGTACTATCTCGTTAGTAACCTAAGGAAGACAGCGTGCAAAGTTAAAATGCCCTGCATAGCCCTACACTCTTTGAATGCTCCAAAGGATGGATGAACATTGGAATTCAAGAATTGTAGGATATAACTGCACAAAGTGTTTACTCATCAAAAAAAAAAATCCATGCTCGATTAAAGAAATGAAATGCATAATAGGATCAATGTACCTGATCTCCCCATTCATTGATTATTGGCATATTCACATCATCAATAAATATAGTCATCTTCTTTCCTGCCGGAGGACCATAAGTTGTACCCATCCGTTTATCCACATAGCTCTCTATTGTCCTCTGTTAAATAAGAAGTCAACATAATAGACTGAGAAAGCTCTCTTGCATCATGGTCAATTACTAAAAAAGCAAGCAAAACAAAAGCCAAAACACTCACAGGAACAAAAATTTAGAAATCTTGAATTGACAAGAATTATTCAGATAAAGCCAGCCATGTCAAACACTTCCTAAAGCACCTAAACTATTTTTTATAATGTTTACAACCTTTGAAAATCTGTTTCACTTTAGGGGTAAATGAAGTTCTGATCAATGTAAAATCTGAATGTGATCAAATTCTTCTGTCCTTTCACGGGAGTTAATTTTGTCTTACGGTGTCCATACAGATGACACCGTAAACCCCCAGTACTGGAAGACCCCAGTCATGAAACCCTTATCCTAGAAATCAAAGATAAAGCTGAAAAGGGCTACTGCCTAAGAAGCTTCTTAAATCTGTTTCTTGAGCTGCATAGACCAAGGAGTATGAGCCTTGGAGAAGGAAGCCAACTGATGCCTGTAACCTCACCCAATCCAGGAAGATGCAATCACACCAAATGACTTCTCAGTCTCCAGGTTAGCATGGGAAAAGAACGAAGCCCACTCATGTCTCTGCCATCATTCCTACAGTCTGAAATTTACGTGGTAGAAGGAGAGACTCATTGTGTTCTCTTAAAAGCCTTCTTGTCAATGAAGAAAAGAACATTAAAACTGGCTGGAGAGACTTTAAAGGAGTAGGGAAGGTGGATGGGGAAGGATCTCAGATTCCTTCCATGGTATGATGATGTGATGTGGAAGTCAGTTAATCATTTACAATATATGTGGTGAGAGTCTAGCACAGAGGAGAAAACACAGAGGGCTTCAAGTCCTTAGCCTCTTCAAGCTCAAAATCCTAAAGCCTTCACACCATCCCTACAATGGTAGCAATGAACTCATACATCATTTCAAACCATGTTGGAGATGACATGTAAATACAGGAGAGAAAGTAAAGGTTTGCAGAGATCAAATGAATTGTCCTCCTATCTGAAAGTTTTATTTCATGATAAAGGGTAAACCAGTTAAAAATGATTTTTTAAATCAAGATCCAACTATAAAATCCACCAAGATGTAACAAAAAAGCAATATACATGTCCTTGGAAATCTTTGCAGTAATTGTAAACTGTAAGTTTCCATCGCCATTTTAATGAGTAATAACAAGTGATGTGAATTTTTTCATCATTTTAATGGAAAGATATGTAAATGTTTCACCGCTCATTCAATTACAAAACAACCCTCGCATGAAATACTATAACAGCAAAAAGAATTTCATATTCCTCTGACATAAAAACACACTGTTTAATGTTCTAGATTAAATTTAGCTCTGCTTTTCAATGAATTTAAATGCATAAACCAATTAATAATCTCCTGACAACCCCTGTAGCAAACCCAGGTCCTTCCCATTAATAGACATTCCTGTGTCTATTAATGAGAATTCTTAGGCATGTGAAGATTTTATGTCTCGTGGGGCTCTCAAAGAGATAAAAAGCCACAGGTGGGATAATTAGAATAATACATTTAGAGTTATACCTATACTTTATTTCCTTTTGTTATGGACCTAATCTCTTGGAAATGGCAGGAAATGACTAGGAAGCTTTCTATGTTATAAAGTGCTAAATTCTCCACCCCTGGCTCTTACACACACACAAACAAAGAAGGAGAAGGTAAAGCTGCTCTTAAGCTTGGAAGTTGAAACTTTCTTCTGGTTGTGGAATTGCTGTCTATTTACAATTGCCTAATGAATTTTCAGGTTTGGTAGGACCTGCCTGAAGGCCTGAAATACAATAGCTATATCTTCTATTGGGACATTTAGAAAAACTGTCCACTTAGATTGCTGTCTCTTACTGGACTTCAAACTTGGATAACCCATAGATAGCATCATAAAAATCAACATATCCAAATACTCTTTAAGTACTCTTCACAAAGTTTGCCATCTTCCCTTCCCACTGGTGGTTAACCTCAGATATTGATACCAATTAACTAACTGCTTAACCAAACATTTTTACAGCTAACATTGCTAAATTCATGATACTGTATGATACATTGCTTTTTAATATAAATTCTCCTCTCAAAACAATGATATACACTTGATCATTTATTTGTGTTTCTCACAAATGTTAACATTATAGCATCTCCAGTTGGTAGGTGATAGAAAACCCTATCACCCGTCAATGCTGCATACTTCTTTATATGTTATATAAAATATCTATGCTGCAGGACTATCTAGAATTATCTAGAATTCTCAATCTTCTCAAATAAATCAGTGGGTGGTTAGTATATGAGTTCCCATGTTAAAGGCTTGGTTCCCATAGCAATGGTACTGGAAGTGCTGTGGACCTTTACATATGGTCTTTGTGGAAGGTGGGAATACCCATGAAGAAGATGGGAGGACTCCAGTCTCTCAGTCTTGGTTTTCTTTCTGATCCATAATGTAAGTCATTTATTTTACCATGTTCTACTGCAAAGGGCCCAAAGCAATGAGATCACCCAGTGTTGGACTAGAAACTCTAGAGATGTAAGCCAAATAATTTGCAATGTTACTTTGGCTATCATGACATAAAGTTAACTAATAAAACTGTCTAATGACCCTTCCACATATTCTTCACAAGCTTTCTTCTGTGTTCCTACCTCATCTCCTGACAGTGTAGTGTGAACCGTCATGCAGTTAAGAAAGCCAAGTAGGTCTATTCATTTCTCTTAATTATTATCTTTCCTCTCAAGATGTCTGGAATGCAGGCACCCTGTGTATCTTACTTCTCTTTGCATCCTCAGTGCCATGAAAGTGTCTAGTACTATATATTTGTCAGTAAATATGTGACACATGAGTAAATAAATACAAGAAACCAGTGTCATCTTTGACTTTCCTCTCTCCTTCTCTCCCAACAGTATCTTCTCCTCCAACAGTATCTATTCAGCTGATCACAAGTCCCATCAATTCACTCTTTAGACACCATGCTGATGCATCTCTGTTCAGTTCCACACTCACTTCTATATTATGGTCAAGCCCAACCTCCCATTGAGAAACCAATGCAACTGTCTACTCTTGGGTCTCTCCAGTTACAGCCATCTTTCTCCCATCCTATTTTCCACTCTGCAGCTAAAGGGAACTCTCTAAAGCACCGTGTAGCCCTGTTAACTCTTTACGGTACTCCAATGACTACCTTCAAGGAACTCTGTGATGCCAGCCATTAATCCCTAAATAGTCCTGCTCAGTCTCTTGGTTCTGGTCCCTCAATGTCTAGTCTCTAATGTCTCTGTAGTTCACACAGAATACACTAAGAAATGATGTTTGTCTCTGGCTAAATATTCATTATTGAAATCTTATTTATGTATTACTAGTGAATTCATTTCTAAGCCAAAAATAACAGTCTCTCAGGATTAGCATTAGCTAAACACAATTTATGACATACTGACCAAGATGAAAGATTTTCCATAATGTCATTTCCTTCAACCTACCTATTGATTTTTTAAAAACTGAAATCTGAGAACTGGACAAAGGAAAATCTATACTTTTAGAGATAAGCAATAGCTTTACTCTGAAAGTAAAAAATCATAGTATGACATCACCTTATGCATGTTATAGCTCTAAATAAGATTCTGGTCTTATTGTCTGTGTGTACAGAAATGGAATATAAATACTAACTCCAATTATGTGATTGACTTATTAAGAAGTAAAAATGAAGTAGTAAGAAAACTAAGTATGTTATAAGAGAAGGAAAACTCTCATCTTTGCTCTAAGCTCGAAACTATAAATTCAGAAGCACTTCAATTTCCTGAGTTAATTTCTTAATAGACAATTCAATTCATAAAAACTGATATAATGTAAACATTAAACTCCCCCTAAAATAATGGCCAACTTGCATTGGACGGGGTACTGACAGAATCTTATATAATTGAGGAGAGAAGACACTTGCATTGGAAGGGGTATTGGCAGAGTCTCATACAATAATAAAAGGAAAAGCTAGCATTGGAAGCTGTACTCGCAGGGTCTCCTATAATTGAAGAGATTGTTCATTGCCCATTTCTTGGCTTTGTCTAGCTCCCAACTGGCTCTGTGAATAGGCCACGATACAAAATTTTCTAACGTGCATGGTCTACACAACAAGTTTGACTGAATTTAAATCCAGGATAAAAATATGTTAAGCTACTTTTTTCACTTATTAATATTGGACTTCGTTTGCTACTTAACATTTCTGAATAATAATTCAGGATTAAGTGTGTATATAAATATATGTATGCCATATATATGCATATATATATGATATATATGGGTCTATGAGAAAAGAATGCATACAGTTAATTCATTATAAAAATGTAAAAGTTTATTTCTATGTGAATCTCTGTGTTGAAGCACCTAAGTCATTTTTTTAATCAAAACTGCATACAACTAAACAAAAATATAAAATGTACTTGATTTTAGGTCTATATATGTTCTACTTGCCAAAAGATAAAAAATAAAGAGCTTGGTCCCCTTTACTAAAATCTAGTGCCTAAATAATTATCACCTAAAACAATCTTTCACTAAAAATAAACATGGCCTTGATAATGGGGTGAGATGGAATTCAGTGTTGCTTTGATTTGCATTTCCTTTGTGGCTAGAGATGTGGTACATTTCTTCATGTGCTTATTGGTCATTTTTATTTCTTCTGAGAAGACTCTTGTTAGCTAATTAGCCCACTTATTAATAGGCTTGTTGGGTTTTGGGGGATTTAATTCTTTAAGTTCTCTGTATAGTCTGGATGTTACTCCACTGTCTGATGCATAGCCGATAAAAATCTTCTCCCATTCTGTAGGCTGTCTTTTATCCAGGAAACAAACAATAACAGATGCTGGCAAGGATGAGGCCAAAAGTGAATGCTAACACACCACTGGTGAATGTAAACTTGTTCAACCCCTCTGGAAAGCAGTGTGGAGGTTCCTCAAAAAATTAAACATAGAACTACCCTATGATCCAGCAATTCCACTCCTGGGCATTTACCCAAAAGATTACA